CAAAGATTCAAAATAGCAGACACTTTTATCCATAAAAATATAAGTTTTGTGTTTAAATCCAAACGTGATGCATCGATTTGCCATAATGTTTATAATCCAGCGTAGAGGTCTATTTTTAATTATCAAAATCATATACATGATAATGATATTAGAAGACAACCCGGGAAGCGTCTGGCATATCACAAGTTAAATATATGGCCGGGGAAGATGCATTTTATATAAACCATATCCATAGTTGTTTAGTACACATATGTTAAAGTGAAATAGTTGCGTCTTACCTCTTACGCTTACGTCTTCGATATATCACTTACTTCTTGGTAACTAGCAATACGATTTATCCAACACACCAAACAATTATAATTAATCAATCATAATTAGTATTTTCGTGAAACGTAACGATTACACAAGTTGTCTATTACTTTATGCAATAAACAAAGGAATTTCATGCTATTGATTACTTAAGGATTTAAGCCTTGGACTCAGTGCATTGTGTGCTGAACCAATCCACGAAGATGTTTTTTCCAAATCTTTGCATGACTTCGCAGGGGGAATGCAAACTTTAGGAAACAATATCTAAGTGGAATGAAGCAGCCACAAGAGTCTTGGACTTAAATTCTTTTCACACATAACAAAATAGTTTCTATAAAATCACCTAAAAGATACAAATCACTAAAAGAACATATTTTCAATGAAACTTTTTGCAAGGGTCAAGTATTCGAAAACTCAATTTCACTCTCAATCGCTTAGCAACTGTACACAACAAATACGTTATTCACTGATCATGTTCATCTTGCTTCATCAAGCTTCGGACCTATCCTACGAACGTAGTGATTGAGCGTGGGAACCGACGATGGATCATGTTTATGCATATACAATCCAATTTGAAACGAAATGGAGGTCACAAAATGTGCATTTTTTGGAAATCGCTCGTTTTTATCAACGTCTTATATTTACATCTGTGTAGGTCTCATATTTGAGACGATGATAAACTTTTTCGACTTGAAATCTTGATCTCAATATGGCTGCCGTTATTTATAGTGGTCAGAACACTTGGGTAGCCCAGAACAGTTGGGGCTCTACAAACGTATTTGTCATTGTAATGGTAATAAACCCCCTTTGTCGAGACATGTGACTAGTTCAGTCAAGATTAAAGCATTGGGGTATATTTTGGTCAAATTCCAAAGCTTCAAAACACCACACATTATTGTAATTATGATTTGATGACAGAATCCAGAGTCTTAAAATGATGACATTCTCATATTCAAGAAATGCTGCGATCTGGTTAACACAGTGAATTGGAAACGCTGTGGTTGTCAAGTTGTCAGGTTCAATAAAACTAATAAATGAACTTAAGTGTCTGATTTGATTAAACAAATTACTATATTGTATTTATAATCACAAATCATTAATTACAAAAAATAGACAAGGTATACTAATACTACACATAAAACTGGACGGCTGATGCTGCAAAACGTGCACACTGGATACGTGGAAGGTTACTGGGCTTATGCTGTACGTAGACGGACGTTATGGTAGATGATACAATACACGTGAACTATCGAGAGTCTAATATCACGTTCACCACGTGAAGATACTGGCTGGACGTGTTGGTAGACTTCTTACTCGAGTCGGTTTATACTCACATCGACGTTACTGGATAAGAGTCTATGAATGTGATAATAGTTACTTGGTTTTATGCTGTACGTAGACAGACGTTATAGTAGATAATTCATTGCACGTGAATTAACGAGAGTCTAACATCACGTTCACCACGTGAGGATACAGGCTGGACGTGTTTGTAGACATCTCACACTAGTCCAATATTACACTGATACAACTCAGACACAGTTTATAGACGCACGAGACGATACAAGGAGACAGTCTGTGCACATACGCAGATACATTTCTCGTTGACAGCTACATACTACACCAAAACTATAAAAAATGGATAATAAACCTATCTAAGACACACGTTTCTAGAATAAATGAAATATAATATTTTCAACTAGTTCCCTAAACTGGTACAGATAACCAATGGATGCTAAGAATAATATGCCATATAAGTGAACACCGAATACAAGAAAATTATAATTATCTTGAACAATATAACTTATCCTTGTACAATTTAGCAATTACAATAAATAAACACAAAGGACATATTGTAATGAATATATATTAAATAAATACCTCAGTATGTTTCACAAGTGTTGACCACATATTGTACAAAGTCACGCCACGTGTTATGACAAGGTAGATGACATCGACTACACGTACATGTTGACACTTGACTTCACAGGAAAACGCACAACAGATAAACGTGGTTCACAAATGCAAAGGTATTTATATGAGTGGACAGTGAGTGAAATAGTGAATGAAATACTAAGGAAATGGAATGATGCCAATTGATTTCTATACTTATGAATACTACCTGTAGAGCTAAGAGTATATTGAATGATAAAACTCGCGTTTGACTGAAACGCTAACCATACTTGACAGTGGTACTAGTCTAGATATGTTTAGAAATTAGCTTGACTTTCCTTTTCGGGAAGAGAAAGAAAAGATCTATTGCATTCCTTCGAATCAAAAAGAAGAAAGATTAATTCACATATAAACTTTTGTTTTTGTCAATAGTTTTATGTTTTAGCACACGTGTAGTAGCAGGCATAACATCATCTAATGTAGGCTTAAGTCGGCTCGTTGCACAAGTGGTTGGGAAGTTTCAATTTGCCTAACAAGTACAACACGAACACGTTTTTTGAAAGATAGATTCGATTCCAAACTCTTCTCTCATAATCTAGAAATAATATCAAAACAAAATGGTAACCCACCCCCCCCCCCCCCCTATCACACTAAACTAGTTCTTACCCGTTCTTGCCAGTCCTACGAAAACGTCGTAAAACGGGATAAATCTGGCTGTGGTCGGGAAATATGTCTAAAATAATTAGCTACTTCGTTTATAAACAGTCTTCAATTCGTCCATCTCATTCGCAGTTCGTTCAGGTCGCACCACATCGGTGTGCAACGTCGTATAACGCGTCCCTTAGTCTAGAAGGTCATCATGACCTGATTACAGAACGGTATGGTCGCCGTCCAATTTTGAATCGATTCAAAAGTCTAAAATCACCTTCTCGTCTGAGAACGTTCATGAAGTTCGTAAAAAGACCTTACAAAGTTGCAGCTACGTTCATTCCGTTCGCACACAGTTTAAAACCAGTTTTGAAGAACGCAGTTTCAAGTTGTAACCCTACTATCACACCAAACTAGTTCTCACTACGTTTTCGAAAACGGGCTCCAACTGTGTACGAACGGACTGGACTTACTAAGAACCGTTTGGGATCTATTTACAAACTTCATCGAACGTACTCGAACGGGTAGGTTCTCTAGAACTTAGACAATGCTCAAAATTTTCTCGTGGTCGTCACATTCTACAATTAGAACGAGTGACAACATACTAACGACGAGCTGGACGTACTACGAACGGAACCGTCGTACTTCAATCCTACTAGGGACGTTTTAACAACGAGTTGAACTGTCTGAGGATGTGTTGAGAACGAGGTAGAATTAATTGCAAACGGGTTTAAACTGATTAAGAACGTATTTAACACTGCTTATGAACGAGTTAGCAAAAATATAGCTATCACACCAAACAAGTTGCGACTACGTTCTTCAAAACTGGTTTTAAACTGTGTGCGAACGGAATGAACGTAGCTGCAACTTTCTAAGGTCTATTTACGAACTTTATGAACGTTCTCAGACGGGAATGTGATTTTAGAATTTTGAATCGATTCAAAATTCGATGGCGACCATACCGTTCTGTAATCAGGTCATGTTGACCTTCTAGACTAAGGGACGCGTTCTACGGCGTTGCACACCGACGTGGTGCGACCTGAACGAACTGCGAACGAGATGGACGTATTGAAGACTGTCTAAGAACGAAGAAGCTAATTATTTCAGACATATTTCCCGACCACAGCCAGATTGAGCCCGTTTTACGACGTTTTCCTAGGACTGGCAAGAACGTGTAAGAACTAGTTTGGTGTGATAGGGGGGTTAAGTGTGATAGCTATATTTTTGCTAACTCGTTCATAAGCAGTCTTAAATTCGTTCTTAAAGAGTTTAAACCCGTTTGCAATTAGTTTTACCTCGTTCTCGTTCCCGTTCCGAATTTTTCGTAGAACTGGCAAGAACGGGTAATAACTAGTTTGGTGTGTTAGGGGGTAAGAGAGTTTCTAAAATTGTGTCCAATTGTGTTTCGGGGAAAACAGACAATTTCTCGAGAAAAAGTAATTGATTTGGACTGAGATTTTAGCAAATGAGAATATACGAACTTGTAATCTCCTACTTTGACAGAAAGATCGACATTTTCATATAAATACTAGTTTAATTCATAATTTGCGGTCAAGTAGTCTTCTTCAGATTAGTTCGATCTACACTACGGAGCTTAGATCAATTAAAAAACAATTTACCACCAGACGTTGGATAAATAAGATCTTTGAGATCAGGGTATTGTTCATCGAATGGTAACTTAGACGTCACCATAACGTATGATATGTAAGAGAAACGAGTGAAAAAATGCTTACGGTCATAGTGGGATCTTCATTAGCCGCTATTTGATTTCGCTCCGCAGCGTTTCCGCGTGAATGAGACGCTTCGTTGTACATGTAAGAGCTTTTGGGTTGGACACCGTGTTATTTATCAGCTTATTGTTGGCGGCCTCAAAGCGCAGTTATTTCAGACCAGCGCAGGTATAGAGAAAGATAAGTAAAATCAGCACGAGTTTGACAGAATGTCGTACAAAGCGCGAATCCAATTAAGGTGAGTGCATTGTACTGACATTCTGTCCAACGAGTGTAGAATTTCACCATATTTCCTGATTATTTATTCCGATTCAAACATAAAAATAAAAACATTGTTCAGAGAATTCGAGATCCATGAATTCGATGTCCATGGAATAACCAGCTGTTTTTTCTCTCGGTTTTGGATTGATGCGGCTGCCTTGGCCGTGGATCAAATGTGTCCGAAGCATTTGCATATGAAACTTTTATTTTAAGCTCTACGTGTCGCTTATGGGTTTCAACCCAATTTTTACTTGATAAGATGTAGAAACAAGCATAATAATGGGATTAAAACAAATTTCACGTGAGAGGGTTGCGCAGAGATGGAACACCCCACACTCAATTATTTGCTAACAACAAATTCGATGTGACTCAACTCTTCAAACTTTTATTCAACATAAGATAGCCGTAGTGAACTTAAGGAGTATTATCAGCGTTATCTGGTGGTGCTCCTGGGTAATAACGAGATACTTTTGGTTTCCCATAGCTTAGGATCGGGCGGAAGGACTTCGGGAGACAGAAATGCGATCTACGAATACAATCCTCGCATAAACACATCCCCTGTTTGTAGGCTACCTCAAACGGTGTCTTGTCCAACTAAAAACATAATAATGAATAGAGGAGTTTCTAAATGATTTTGAAATCTCGCCAATTCTCGTTTTTTCATGAGATTTTAAGAGATTTGCACATTTTACCTCTAATGACTTACTTTTCTTTCTTTTTAATAGCATATTTGAATTCAGTGATATGTTTCCTACAATATTAGCTTTGATTTACATATTTGTGTCATTTAAATCATTTTCCATGACATTTAAAAAAACGTGGGCCAAATCTCCATTGGTGTTATGCTAAAATTCTTTAAAACCATGGTTTAATCGTATGACAACCAACATTTTCATGTTTAATCACAATATGTTCATTGACAGGGTCATTTAATAGTATGCCATTCATATTTCAGACAGATTTAACTAACACTCTGATAACTTTTAGCATAGAACTCAATGGAAGGTTGGCCCAAGATGAACAAAGGTGACATCTATTATGTCAGCTTTATTCAGCTTTATTTAGCTATTTAGAAACTATACTATTGATAAAAACTCAGATATATATTATAAAACTATTTCAGACACTCTTAGTTTGAATGCAATATTTATTTCTCTATATATAGACAGTCCCAAAAATGAGCCACTTTTTGACAAGCATTATCTCTGCAACTGATGAACAAAATTCACCGAAAATTTGTCCAAGTAGCCCAAGAGATCGTTAGCAAGGTACAAACATATGAAAAGATCAAGTTTATGTTATGTGAGTACTAAGAAATTCAAGAAAGTATGTCACAATATCCCATACCAGAGCAACGCAATGAGAACTTATAGCGTTTGAACCAAAATATGAGAAACAACTTGACAAGTAATTTTTTAGCAATAGATTAGCCGAATTCTTTGAAACATTACTAAAGGCCCACTATGCTTAATTTAGAAGGAAATGGATATAATGATCATTGAAACATGTTATTTACACACACCATTAAATATGATACAAAGCTTAATTTGCATTAGCACTGAACTGAGAAAAAATAACTCACGTACAAAACAGCATTATGAAGTTCAGAGATTTTTAGTGGGGCATACACATTTTTGACAAAGTGCATGTTTTCGAATAACTCTTGATTTTAAAGATGGCGACACTTGTATAAAAATGAATGAATCAACAAACAACATCGCCATCATTTATTGACATTGGTAAAAATTGATATATAAAAACTTTGACAGATCAAAACTATTTTTTATTGATGATTTATTGTAAGCTTTGCCGTGGCCTGTGTGAGTTGTTTTGAGGTCTAATGATAGAAAAGTACTTGTCAATCCATTGGAAATACTATGACGTTCAAAAGTAAGTCTTTATTTTCAAAATTGTTGAAAATATGCATAGTGAAGCTTTAAGGCACTTTAGGTTATCTTCTGCTAGTTCCATGAATAAGTAAGAAATTGGTCTCACATTATGTGTGTATTTTAAAATTAAAGACAGTATGTTAAAATAACCAATATCAATGCAAAAGTCACTTCTGGATAGTTGGGATGAACGAAAAGAATTTATCAGACATCTGATGAATTGGCTCCCATCGAACGCAGTGGAGACCGACCGTGTGAAAATGATAGCTGGTACAATTAACACTATAGAGGTCTCACATCGGAGCAACTGCATTGGAATTTTTGACATGCTATTTTGAATTTCTTAGTTATCACAGAATATTTACTTCCTCTTTTTTATATTTTTACAACTTCCACATGATACTCCTAGGCTACTTTGTACAACTTTTCAGTGAATTTGATTTATCAGTTGCTGAGATAACACTTGTCAAAAGTGGCCTATTTTTGGGACACCCGATAAATCAAAAGCCCCTGACTACTATTGGTTTAGAAAATTGCAAGAGCTTTAAGAGGCAAACGGGAAACTGATCTTATCTACAAGGTGTATCAATTTTGTCACTTTTAAACTTACTACAAAATCAATAGAACCATATTCAGTAATGTACGACGTGATGATCCCGCGATTTCCACTATCTCATCCTTTGATATTCCCTTGCACTGTTAGTTCTAAACATATATATGGCTTATCTTTGGATTGTCTTTTCGGAGATATGATTATTGTTTTCATTTCTGAGAATATGAAAGGATATTTGCCATGTTCGAATTCGGGTAGGACCTCAAAATCAAGGCGTCACGCGTAACAAATGATGACAATGAAACCTGCCCCAAGAGGGCTATCTTCAAAAGTAGCCTACCGATAATTATAATTTTTGGTTATAGTTTTCCCAAAATTACTCATTTTGTGGCATTACAGCATTGTAAATACAGCAAAAAGTAGAATTTCCGCTTTTTTATTGTTACAAAAGTTATGACGTCGTTCTGAATATGGTTCATAGCCAAGGAGGATCGAAACTTTCTTGTGTTTTTTCACGTACAACGTTTTGCATCATGTGTGCATTTTCACATTAACAAGCTCAAATAATATCCTAGGAAGGTAAATAATGTGTTTTATTTATTCCAATACCTTGGTTACTGGGTCCTTAAACATCAAGGGACAACCACAGCATCTTGGATCCGCCGGATTACACATGGCCATTGTTATTTCACATTCTCTATTGAAGGAGGCAAATTTCTTACATGGATCTACGGGTTCTGGTGGTGATTCCGTTGGGGGTACATCTGAATAAAAGCATTTTGTAATATTGAAATCATTAAAATTGCTCTCATATGTTAACATGCAACTTTTATTTCAAAGGCTTCAAAATACATTTCATTGATAATACTCAAAACGTATTGATATTAAAAGGATTTGGGGCATTTTACCCTGCATTATTCCGCGCTGAAATGCATTCATAAATACTGATTCCATGATTCAGCACATTTATAGTTGATGTCATGCTTAACGGGGCCCATAACCTTGTTTTTTGAGCCACTCAGTAAAACTACGATTTCTCTGCATCACGATGTCCAGTTGAGATCATTCGAGTACTTATGTGTCCCTGAGACGATTTGGCAACGTCTACCCAAAGTTTGCACTCTATATTGGCGTAACTTATAACTAAAATGGCTAATTGTATGGCTTATTTTGTAACCATGAGCTTTTGAAGAATACATTTAGTCATAAGTAAAATGAAAAGAACATAAGATTGAAACGGTTTGGAATGGGCAAAATGAGGTTGAAGTGAATAAAGAAGCAAAGTAATTGATTGGTTGTGTTAAAAGTAAGTTTAGCAACACAAAGTACATCCCATGTTGTTTAGTGTGTTATTTAAGTAAATTGAAAAGAACATTAGATTAAAACGGATTGGGACGGGCCATATGAGGTGGAAGTGAATTAAGAAACAAAATGATGATCAATTTTGGATGAGAAGAAAAAATAAGGTCAAGAAGGTAAAACTCAATCTTTGACAAATGACATTTTGTTAAAAACTTACCACACAAACTCGACAGAACATCTTCAATTCTGTTGAGTAAATTATCGAAGTTTGTCACTCTTATAAGTCCCTCATCTGTTGATGCAATTTCCCTAAATTCCTTTGTTCCACGGGCTTGCATCTCTGGGTTATTATTCATCTTGTGATTTGGTAATTCAATGGCAAACGACGTTACACCAGATCCTGTTTTGAGATCCCGAGCGGCTTGGATAGTGGCGCCTGACTTTTCTTTTGGGTGTGTAGCACCATCGGTTAGTACAATAACGACCTTCTTTATAGGTGGTGATTTTATACCCAATGGATCTCTTACACCATGAGCTTCAGTAAGAGCCACTAATCGAGCATCGTTTAGCGCTTTGTATGTTGCTGTACCACAACGTCCTCCTACGTTAATATTTTGGTGGTTCCAATCCATTTTTGCTATAGCATCGGCTATAGCCGCGCCCGAACTGTACTCATCAAGATAGAAATTGTTGTAGGTAAATTTGTCATAACTTATCAACCCCATCTATAATGAACCAAAGTACATAATAACGAAGCATATGTTATAAATAAGACTACGGTTCAATCCCCCTGCCCCCCCCCCCAAAAAAAAGCTGGAACACCAAGGCAAGTTTAGAAGAGAAGAGGACGACAGCCTACCCCAAGATTCAATACTGAAGCACATGCAGCTGAGCAGACAATTAATAAAATGAAATGTTTCTGCTTGAATACTTTTATTCCGGCGATAGATTTTAACCAATAGAAATCACTTGCACTGGTAATGTCCACTTTCGCAACAAATAAAAGCCCATTCTGATACTCATAGCACCTTCCTGTTTCACCTGTTTCTCAGGGCTGAGAAGAAATGAGATGTCATGGTTTATCATGATGATGAAAGCTATCGTCACAAGTAAAAAATAATTCCCACCACACGTCTCCAGTTTTTGTGATTTCAGAAAATTCAATAAACGACTGTATATTTTTAACAATGTTAACGCAGCCTGTTAACTGACCTGTGTTTGAAAATCACCCTTGCCAATACAAGGGCCCAGCGCCTCTGCGAATGCTATGAGGAAATCCTGTACTTGATATTTGTTAGCTTCTTTTATACTACATGATATGTCCTGTATAATTTGAAGATCCAGAGGGCAATCCAGAGGACATCCAGCTGGTACTATTAAATCAAAAATACATCAAAATAAATTGCTCGATGGCAATTATAATTGCGTCTGATTAAAACGTGCACAGACGAAATGGCTGCAATACTTGTCTATTTACGTGATAGTTAATGTGCATTCAGAATTTTATTTTGTTTCAGTGCAGTATTATACGTATATTCGGTGTAATTTGTACCAATGATATTGTACAGTAGTTTTTATTCAATGTACTTCGTTCTACATTTTTACTTAAATTGGCAGCAAAGAATGTGAAATGAAAAATTATTAAAATTGTTCAAATTCTTCTTTTGAACATTTGAACGACGTGTAAAATGGTAATGGGAAGTGATTAAAGTAAGTGGATTGGAATATATAAGTAACAATGAAATGTCACATTAACTTACCCTGTGCATGGATGACTGATGGAACCAAAAGAATGAGGAATGCACAAATGGATATCATGACAGCCTAAAATAGAAGAATATTTGAATATCTCATAAAAGGACCTATGCAAAGTTCGAAAATATGTTTTTATCATTCATTTACTATTGGCTAATGAGAGCACCTAATGAAAGGATCTAGTGCACCTTCCCCATGAACAAAAATAAATTCATCTAATCTTTTGAAATAATTGTACTGCTTTTATTATTACAATTATATGTACACTAGTATCTTGTTGACCTATATTCAGCACTGTATTGATGAATTGGCCACTTATTAGGGCCAATATTCAATCATAAAGTGTACAGGAAGGTTTTTTGTGCCTGTCAAAATCCATTTGCATCCTACACATCCCTACATCTTATCCAAATATGTTATTAATTAATGAAACATAACAGTATAATCTTTGGATTTACAAATTTGTATGGGATTTCATAAGTGTAAAAGTTGCTTTTTAAGCATTTTTCTATAGCCATTTTGTAGGAAAAATGATAAAAAATGTATATTCTTTTAATTTGAAGTATGACCTGAATCGATTGCAAACTTTATATTTGCACATCTGATGTGATATACCATTTGTGTCATATTGTGAAATTATTTAATTTACAATCAATTCAGGTCATAGTTATTTTAGGTATTTTTGTGTAAATCAATAGAAACCAATGGCCTCTATTGGAATCTCATGGTATCCACATACTAAGTCTATAGAACACATCCAATGTCAAGTCAATACACCCTTGCTGAACTTAATGACCTCAACCTCAGCCCATGTGGGTCCAAACGCTAAAATATTTTCCAAAGTATTATGTGACATTGTATTCTTTATTTTACACCTAAAAATGATTCATTTTGTTCATGGGGAAATCATAATGGAAAGTGCATTAGACCCTTTTGCGCTAAGGGATGATGTGAAAAATAGTTGTTTGAAAAAATGCTTTTTCTCAAATATTCAAATGTCCCGCCATTTTTGAAATAAAAGTCAACATTTTTTAAGATTCTCTTTTTATCAACCATTTTTCAAAAGAAAACATGTGGAGATGGATGCTATACATGTACCTTGATCTGAGTTATCGCTTGTGAACTCTAAACTTCATTTGTAAATGAATTCATGATTTTCAAGCAAAACGTTCTTCATATATCACATCTTGATAACATTGGGTAAGACTACAATATAACCCAAAGTGGTTTAATTTTATATTGGGCCTGGCCTTGGATTATTGTACAGGGTGTCCGGAAAGTAAAGATACAAATGCTCTAATTTCAATAGATTTACCTGTTGTAAGATGAAATTGCTACAGATTATAGAATGACATTATAACAATTTCGCAACTGTCATGACAATTTGTTTCAAAATGAAAAAGTTATGGTTGTTATGGTAACGGTAGTCCCGGGTATGTGGAGCAGCGTCACAATTATGTTTTATAATTATTTTCTCCTGCTCATCTTGACACTCCATCATCTGTTGCTATACATCAAATGATGTACCACAACAGCAAAAGAAGTAGTACTGTAACATTATTTGGTCATTTGACATTACTACTTTTATCCAGTATTGTGTATTTCCCAACATTATCTAAACATTCGTGGTGCATATTGACCAAAAATTCAAAGACCTGACCAAACCGCTGCTGTCCATATCTCAGATTACTGATAAATTGGCTTCAAGCAGAGTCTCATTTTCATGTTGAACTTCTAACAAATATTGCTTTAAGATATTCATTAATGTAGAAGTCCAACTGGACATTATCAGGGTAATGTGGGCCATTGCACAAAAAAGGTTTAATGTCAAGACATTCAATTGTAAGGTTTGTTTTCTTTGCTTTGTGAATTGGAGCATTTTGGAGGTGCACTATTGACTTTCTTATTAATCTAGGGACCTTTTTTCTAAGCACTTATATAATGTTTTTGATTATACTGGATAGTGACATTACATAGTTATGATATGCACCAGTGATATCATTATAATAAAGAGTGTACTATGGCAGCAAGAATACAATATTGAACAAAACAAAACATTGATAGGAAATACTAATAAACACTGTTTCAAATGGTTAAATTCTAGCAATTTAGGACAATTTAGCGATATCATGTAACTGCTCCGCATACCCCTGACCACCGTAACTATGACAATCATAACTTTAACATGTTTAGACTATATGTTATAAAAGTTGACAGATGTATTGTAATATAGTTCCTCTACAATCTGTAGCAATTTCATTACAAAAAACTCAGACCTCTTAAAATGAGAGTGTTGTATCTTTACTTTCCGGACACCCTGTATATTAATCACTTCATCGTCGAACAGTCGCACTAATGACTATACTAAGTATGATCATCGCTTATCCATTGCATTTTGATTGATTTCTGTTAAGTTCAAATCGAAAAATCAAAATAATACTTTAAATAACTATCCGTCAATTATAGTGTAATATTTTAAAACCTAATTGTTTTCAGCTCTTGTTTATAAGTCGATAAGTATTATGCTTGAAATTGTACATGTACCTTATTTCACACTTTTTATTACCAGTATATTAGTTTTTGTGTTAAAAATTCAAATGTTTTGCATCAATTTGCTGAAAACTATTCAGATAGCACAATATATAAGTTAACGATAATGTCTGGAAGTTTTGGTCAAATATCCAGTAAAATCTTTTAAATCGCCATCACCTTTATTGTTAACAAAGCATTTACATGACAAAATGTCACCACCTGTAAATTGACAACAACAATGAACCGATTTATGAATACTAACTAGAAATCAAGAATACAAGCAACCTTAGGAAGGCCCTGATATGCCTTTTTGAACTTTTATAGGTCAAAGAGTTGTCAAATTACATATCGAAGATTGCGATGTAAAATCAGCTTCGTAGTTGGTTACTAGGTATCTACGTCAGCTGTCTTGTCAGTTACCAAGATATTTACCAATTTACCAAGGCTAATTTCTAAGTTTGTTCTTTTGAATCCTAATAACTAATTTAAAGAATCATATTTCTACCTTTCGAATGGCACTAAAGGTCAGATATAAATTCCAGGGAAATCAAAGATGATGTTTTAAAAAGATTTGTTCAATTTAAAGCAAGTTGAGATTTGACCTTGAAAAATCTCGAAATTTGACCTTTTTTAGTATTTGAGCTCTTATTTCTCAAAATTGGTGCAAACTTTTAATAAATAGTCCGATAAGTAACTGCTGAAATGTGACTTCATTAAAGTGACCTAAGTTTAAATTAATTTTCTACCATGCAAAGGTCACCGAATGTCAACTTAAGGTCAAACATCAAACCTGAGGTCAGATTTTAACTCAAAGCGTTTTGTAGATGATGTTTGAAGAAGGATTTGCAGAATTTGAAGCAATTTTTTAGTTTGTGAACATCAAGAACATCTAAAACAATATGTCACCACTTCTGGCTGTGACAAATTAATCATTTTTGTTCCTAATGATCATTAATCAAGAAGCATTCCATTAATTTGCTTGATATTGTCTTATTTATAGACAAACAAAAATGTCAAAAATGTCAAAACTCTTTGGCAAAATATTTGGCAATGATTCAAAATGGCCGTTATTTGTATCAAGGAAATGTTCAAGTTTTGGCAAAATATCTCATGGAATTCCAAAATTGCCACCAATTTTTATTTTGACATATAAGAGTCAATTACCCATGGTACTTATTTTGTTAGTTGAAAACATTTTGTATAATTTCAAAATTATAAAGGCCGAACTGTTCTGTCATTAGATGTTTTAATAATCATGATTAATTTAAGAATAATAAAATCATATCATTGTAATTAAATCCTTTGATACAATCATTTAAACACGGTCAGAGTAGGTGCATTTAATATAAAGCATATCAATAGTTGTTTAGTACACGTATATTAAAGTGAAGTAGCTAGTTGCGTCTTACCTCTTACTCTTACTTCTTCGATATATCACTTACTTCTTGGTAACTAGCAATACGATGTGTTACAATTTATCCAAAACGCCAAATAAATATTAATAATCAATCACAATTAGTGTTTATAAATCGTATCATAATGATCAATAAAGTGTATATTAGATTTGGTGCTAAATGATCGTCATTGATCTATTTTCGTGAACCGTAACGATGACACGCAAATGTTCATCAATCTCATTATTCCCCTATCAATCAATCCGGGGAGGATTGGCACCACGGTTCCAACTCGATATTCAACATATTCAACCTTGACATTGATGGATGTCAGCTTTGAAAATGTCGTTATTTCAGACATTGTAACTGGCTACAAACTTATAATTACCATTCAAAAGATATTGGTCACGTCTAGTGTGTTTTGAAATTTCTTGTTTGGAAATAAGAAAAAGGGCGTCAGTATGATTTCACATTTTCTAATCATAACATGACTCCATATATGGCACAACATCGAAATGGAACTCTGGGAGACAATCCTCCTTGCAATCACTCTTTTCTTTTGAGAAGCTACGATTTCTCGATCAGCTGCACGACTGTGACCTACAGATTATAATATAATTAGCCTCTCTGACCTCTTTCGGACGAACTATACAGTTCAAATCACCTCACAAGTTTTTGATTGCGTCTGACCGAGAGAAAATGGGCCAGTTGTAGCCCAAATGATCTACCCGGTTCAAATATCCTTTCCCTATGCGTCGACCTTTATAAAACCATGAAGACGTCCACACAGTGAGTTAACAGATTTCATCTGTAAACGTGACAATCGTAGTCTTAATGTTGCAGGTCAATTGTAACACCCAGTGCATTACTTACTATAGAAATACTTAAAAGTTGGATTAGCGAAATCTTGAAGGATGTCGCGATTACGAAATTCAAAGAACGAATGGCTATAGACACCCCTGGGGTCACTTAACATTTTTTGAAAAATGCAATGTCGTTAATATCCTTGATATGTAGGATCAAATTGTAGATAAATATGTATATTTTCAAGAAATAGCGATAAAAACATTCAAGATTACGGATATAAGTATATTTTGGTTGATTTGGGAGGTATGTATCACTTCCTGTGAAAATGTGAATTTTCTATCAGTCTCAGAAAATATCTCAAGAATGTATAAACCCAACTTGGCAGATGTCCCATTGCTTGACTGTGTCACTCTATACACTCATTGGATTAATATTTTGTACATATAAATATACATTTTACAATTTTACAATAGTCATTGAGGGGGGATTAGTTATGTTTGCAATTGTGTTGACCTACTTATTTTTTAGAGAGAGGAAGGTCATGATAAACTCTTGCTTTGTTCATATAATGCCTGGTTCTTACCTAGAAAGATATATACATTGAGGGAATAGTGTACTTCTAACTAAAGGTACTTCTTGAGATATCTAAAAATCTAGGTAAGGATTAGGCGTTGTGCAAAAATGGACTTTTAAGAAATTTTCAGCATGAAATAAATTGATGTCAGCCATTTTGAAAATCCTTAGAATGATTGTGACAATTGTGTTTTATATATTCAAGTATATTTTCTTATTTAATATTATCATTTCATGAACTAATATCTATGCTTGCACTGGAGCATGACTTCTAGAGAAGCATATATTTTACCATGGCTCTAAACAACATAATAACTTGTAATTCCTTTCTATACATTCATATAAATGTACATGCAAAATTGAGATGATTGTTGTACAATCATTTAATCTTCATGTGACAGGCGTCATTTTTGTCAATGAATATTTTTTTTATATTATCACAGTTCACTGGCTGATCAAACCAATGTTCATATTTAGAAATCCAGCTCAACTTTATTGTGCAGAAAAAATATACTGTAAGTCACAATTAGTAGGTGGGAATATGACATTTGCTAATAAAATGCCCAGAGCAAAGGGAATTGTATGAATGAACTGCAATCACTCAGTACCCCCTATATGGAGACAGAGGGTTACATCTAAATCGTAGTGGACTCTTTTGAGGACTTCCCCATTTTGACTGAAGACGATGTATGTCAACTCACATTTGGTGTTTATCAAGCCAACCAATCTAAACGATACACAGATGACCATTTTCAAGTCGATGGGAAATATATAGTCTAATAATAGGTTTGTGTCCTCTAAATTTCACTAGACATTGGTGGAGTACAACCCAGATCCAGATGTATGTAATAGTATTGATTCAATCAGTGGATGGTGTTGTTCATGCCCAGTTGGGAGTAAGGCTGTAGGCACAAGGGGTATAAAAGCAAAAGAAATGAACAAAGTTTGACATTTTAAAATCAAAAGATAGCTCATAGTCTCTTATTATAATTAACAAACACATGAATATCCTCATCTACAGAAGTACAACAGTTACAATCAATTTTTTTATTCTGTCAATCAGTTCATATGGTTAGAATAAGGAAAGAATGTGATGTAACCACGTGTCTACTTACCGGCTTGTTCTATGTCATCCATCGGGCTAGGTTACATCGTGGAACGCAGCCGAACAGGACGCTGAAGGCAACAGCATATCTATCTTGATCTTAGCCGAATTTTTGGAAATTTAGATCGTCCATTTTGCAAGCTCACGTGACTGACACGTGATACATGTCTGATCACGTGACTAGTTACTGTATCGATCATGTGACTTAATTACGTGTCAATGACGTGTCACCCAATCATGTCTTCAAGGAAAACGGAAGTAAATATTTTTGAAAATGTTTTCCGAGCATTTGCTACTGATTATAGAAGGCCCAATTACGCAACGAACGAAACTGCTAAATTGTTTTCGTGCCTAACATGCGCAGTACGCAATGAAAGAAACTGCTAAATTGTATTTTTAGAGCTGTTTATTGATCTATTGATTCATAAAGACCTGTAATGATGCATTCAAATAAGACCGCCTCCTAAATGAAAACAGTACACATAAGGTGGTGAAAAAACAACGAACTAAAGTTGAAAGATCGCAACGTTCGCTACTTTGTTCAATTCCGGAAATCTCCAAGGGGCTGCAAATGGGAAATTATTTAGATTTAGATTTTATAACCTCAGAATACTGGCTTCATTGTCGTGTTTGGCTGCGTTCCACGATGTAACCTAGTCCGATGGATGACATAGAACAAGCTAGTAAGTAGACACGTGATTACATCACATTCTTTCCTTATTCTAACCATATGAACTGATTGACAGAATAAAAAATTTGATTGTATGTAAAGTCCGGAATAACCTTTTAGAAATTGTTATATTTTATGTGTTTTCAAATGTTGCCCTTTGTGCTTCCTCACTGTGATTTGAAATAATAAATTCAGTATTCTACTGCCACTTTAAAATAAACTGTATATGAGCAATTGATCTCAAGGAAGCAGATCAATATTTAATTGATTGATATGCATTTTTGGCTTGTTAATTACTTCATGTGTTTTTAATGTTTCCCCTTGTTCTTTCTCATTGTAAAAATCTCAATATTCTATTGACATATTTTTGTAGACAGTTGATCTCAATGAAGTATAAAAAAGATCACTATTCAATATTATTTTGCATTTTTGACTACTTATATTTTATGTGTTTTCGAATGTTGCCCATCATGCTTCGTCACTATTATGTATGATAATACAAAGAGGATCAATTAAAAAGTCTTGAATGACTGTAAATAATGCTTCTTTTGATAATAAATAGAAACAGTGAGAATAATGATGTAAAGAGAGTGATTTTTTCCTTCAAAGGGTCATTTTATACATGTTAATAGAAAGACCTATATTTTGAAATATAAAGGTCAGAATGACCTAATTTTGGGATATGGTTATCAAACAAAGTATCTTCTTTGATATCTTGTACAATTCCTTCTAAATATCTTGGTGGCTAATACAGGGTCTTAAAGACACTCGTCCTTTAACAGGCGCCATTTTTCACTTTAGATTTTGAATCGCGAGCTTTGGTCTTATTACAAAAAATCAAAACACAAAAATGATCAATATTAGTTCAAATCTTTTGGATTGCTGATTATGAAGTTATAGCTAGTTATGTAAGACATGACGATGTTCTTATAACAGTTGGGAAACATCGAGATTGCATTCTGTGAGCCAATTCTACTTGGGGTGAGTTGCTCGAGAGAAAATACCATATAGTTGACATTTATACAAAGTCGGCAAAAATATACGACCATATAATGACATTGTAAATAATGAATATATTTTACTAATATATACAGGGTGTCCCCCTTCACAAGCCAAAGCCAAAATGTATGCATGGAACCAAGTGTGATATATCATTTAAAAGACCATCCAAAGCTACATTAACCAGTGATCTGGCAAAGGAAGAGGACCAAAAATGGTAAAGAAACCTTGCAAGAAGTCATTACAATACATATTGAAGAAAAATTGATGGCCAATGAATGGTTGTGAGTTGCCTGTAAACTGAATATTGATGAAAATTACAAATAAACTACTGTGCAAACTGTAATACTAATAAGATCAAATAAGTTGTAGATACTAGTACTCAAAATATAGAGCATTCAGTATCAAACGATGTGGAACAGACGAAATCCAGTCTCGAAGTCCATAGGCTTACGGAAGATGCGGTCCACCCGGCCTTGCACCGTCCATGCATAAAGACTTGACAACCTATAGAAGGATTTAGAAATTATTTGGGGTGAACGGCACATTCAGCGTTTGATTCAGCATTGGTCCTGCTTGCATTTTTATTAAAGCCTTTCCTAGGCTAGTTGAGTAAATTAGTCTAATTATCTAGATCAAGCGATAGTTATGGATATATTTATATCGATCTTTCGACAAAGTTGATATATAATCAACATTTGTCCTTGAAATATGTTTGTAAGTAGCTTATTTTATCTGTAATAGCTGCAGAAATTCGATCAGTATGAAACATTTTTCATGCTCCTGAATCGATCTTTGTGAACTTGTGATCAAGGGTGGGTTTTTTGAACTGCCCGCGGGCTAGTGCATTGCATAATATAAGTATTCCCCCTTGGTATCACGAAAAAGAATGAGCACATGCGTTGCAATTTACATGTTCACACGTTTTCAACACAAGCAGTTCATCCAAGAGCACTTAAACCGCTAATTCCCGGGCGTTAGTTACGCTGTGGCAACCTTGTCGGCTGCTCCCGTGTGTCAACCGCGCCGGCTTGTTGCTAGTGCACCACGGGAGTTCGATTGCAATAAATCGTGATATCTTACCAAAATATTATGTGAATGTTAGTACGATTGAATGAAATTTTTAGTTGAAAACCTATACACGACTTATTGTTCTTTTTAGTGATACCTGGGGATAAACCTCATTAAAACATTACGCAGTTCACTAGCACCACGGGCATAAAAAATGCAGTGCTAGTTTTAAAACTAGAATTTTCCTCAGAGTGTCCGTCAAGGTGCTTGGCCTCTGACGCTGCAGATTGTGGTCAGGTTGGTTTGTTCGATCAAACTTAGTGGTGTTGTCATGTCACTGCAACTGGTGCTGTGATGTCCTCTCTCGGAAATATGTGTAACTGGTAAACTGTCGTAAAGTAGGAGATGTTATAAGTTTTGATAGCCCATGGCATGTAAGCGTAATTGAAATAATTGTATTCTTCACAAAAGACGTGTTCGCCAGGTTTGAAATCCAAGAATTGTCTATGACACTGCTTTTGCAAACCGTGATCAGTTTAGATAAAGCCTGGGCTGAGTGAAAAGTGTCATGTCATTAATTAGTCTGTCCACATATCTTCATAAGAGACTTTTTATCATTTAGTTTAAAGTGGGAATTCAAGAATCTCCAAATTAGGGAAAAGTGATCTCTTCTATCAAATTGATCTAATATTCAACAGCCACTTGTTAGATTATCTATTTTTTCAACTCATTTACATCTTCACATCTTCTAGTGTTGAACATATATTACATTTCTGACAAAATGAACTCACGTCAAATTTAATTCAAATATATTCCTAATAGTGTCAATAAAGTTTTTAGAAATATATCCCACATCATTTCAGAAATAACATTTTCCTTAAATTTTAAAATACATTATTCGTTCCGATTCCAAATTGGGGACAAATGATCTTGCTTATCAAAGTCTGATTCTCAACAGTCATAGTCATTTATATTTTGTCAATACAATTACATTTTTACTATTCTACCTCAATGAAGCGCAGATGACAACATGGCGGCATAATTTATTTACTCAATAGTTTCCTTGTCTTCCAAATACATAAATTCACTACATTTTATATAATTGAATGTGTTTCTGAATTATTTTAGTGCAACCACACTGTTGCGTTTATTGTTTGTCTTGCATCTGAGAAGGCAGAGGTCAATTAAATATTCAACGGCCTCTGCTATAGTAAGCACAGACATGCCGATGAACAAGCCCAGAATCCCACCAATGTCACCAATCAAACTATCCACCTGAAAGAAAAATGAATGCATCGATCTAGATTGCATATATTGTACATATACTTTAGCGGATAGCATAGATTTGGCTTTTAAGGACGCTTGTTGTAAAATCCATAGAATAAATATGATATCCTTTGACCTTCTCGGGCTTTCATTTTTATCCAGTCGCGGGCATCACCCATCTTCACCTTCCGCTGTGCCCATGGTATTGGAACAAAATGATATCTCTAAAAATCATAGAATATCTTGTATATACAAGTATATCCAAATATATGAAGATTGGTACTTACTGTGTAGGCTTCGAATTCTTCGAGTGATTCAAGGATCATGTCTTTGTAGTACACATGCAGGCGAACAAAATTTTCCCTGCAAAATGGAACAGGTGAAGAATCTATTAAAAATGTGACATACATGCATATTTACAAACGTAGCCTATAATACTATTTCTTAACTTCACAAACACTTTTTTTCAAGACACTACAACTTTTTATTTTCCAACCTACATACCCCAAATTTTGCAGTTAGATAGTGCCAGGGGTTCTTAGTAATAATATAATGTAACAAGTCCTTCAACTTGGATTATATTTGATCTAAAAGAGGAGTTAATTTGGTCCGCCACCCTATTTGATGATATATCTTAATTTTAGTTTTAGTCGCCTTGCTGATATAGCAGTATCGATGAAATGTTAGCTAAGTTGTCTTAATTGCCAGCTTTAGTTGAGCAATTTTCTTGATTGGGTGCCTTCATACAATCTCCTGGAGACCTTCCCATACCCTACATGCCCTATACTCACTGGGGTTTGCATCAGGGCTATTAGCTTGGTGATCATCAGGGCGTATCAGTTCAGGAACATTTTGCAAATTATGCTTATTTCTCATGGCACACCACATGTTTAGTGAGACGCTGGTGAAATATTTTATTCAAGTAAAAGTGTATAATTCATGATCCATGGCTAGATAACAAACTCAAGTTTCATTTGGTATGCAAATTATAATTTTGTATCAAAAATTAAAAAAGTTATAGCATTTTGAAAAAAAGTGGCGTTTTTTGGCCCACCCTGTATATGTAGCATTCGCAGATTTAATTGCCGTCTGGCGGTTTAACCTACTCCCTATGGCCAATTCGGGCACAATAAATATTTAAATGAGTTTGCCATAAAAATAGTAGGTTCATCCGTCAGCCGGCAGTTGAATGTCCTATAGTGTGCTACGGATTCTTCATATTCCGGAGTCATGCATGCCATGGACTAAAAAGAAAGATTGCACTGTTACAAGGTCTTATAATGAAGATGAAAACTCCTTTGTTGTATTTAGTATCAGAGATAGGCATTGAGGGCCTTTAATTACCAATCTATACATAAAAGAGACAATCGTGATAAACCGACTCAACATCACCTTTTTCATGAAGGGCAATAAGAATGTATATACATACATACATGACATCCTATTTCTTTCTATTTCTTTGACGTTACTTCTGTATTACCCTGTATACCTACCTTTCTTCGAGAAAATCACTGGTACAACTGCATTCTTCAAACTAGTGACAGAAACGGATTCGTTTCAGAAACAAAATGTCGGAACCTCGAAGCTACGATGTTTCCCTTATTCCACGAGTTGTATGCAGCTGCAGAAAAATCGTACCTTCGAGGTTCCGACATTTTGTTACCGAAATGGATCCTCGTTTAAAAAGTGCAGTAGAAGTGATTACGTATAGATCTAAAAGACAACCCTGTCTTCAAGTTCAAAGTCACAAAATACTCACAATCCAAGATATCAATGTCCGTGCCTTGCCATACGGGGCTCATTCACAAAGTTCCAAAATCACCATGAATTCTTATGATCTTATAACATTCTGTCCATACACGAGTGCATGTATATACATAACCCGTTCACCCGTTGTGAACCCTGTGTCACCCGTTCCTCTGAATTGTTGTTTAGTAACTTATAACAAATAAATTGAAATAAAATAATTCTTGTAGTCAATTTGTATTCTAGGTTTACTCTCGCTTTCTGAAAACAAAGAAAGTTAAGCTTTCAAAATTGGCAAGTATACCTCGTTGTTTTCAGGTCGTTCATTATTTTAAGTTGTCCTTCGCTTATAATGTTACTGTCAGTAAGCTTTTGCATCATAAGTGGGTAGTACTGAGCGCTAGGCCACTCTGAGGAATGTAATGATTCTTCAAAACCAAGCTCCCTGTAAAAAGAAATTCACATGAAGCGTTGAGGGTCGAATATTATGGGTAGAGAAAATTGCATTGTTACTTTACGTACAATCAGTTTTCAGTTTCGGTGAAAAACTGAAAAACGTACAATCAGACCTCATATCAAGTTGGAGTGACCTGTTTGTCAAAAATTTGAGACCACCAGGTCGAGAATATCCAATACCTTACGGTAGTTTAGGGCATGACCATCGTGAGATATCACAGCCTTCTCTCAGTGTCCTTCTTGTGCATAGCAGAGATGGTCTGAGTATCAGAATGGGGCATGACCGAGGTAATGTAAAGAAGACGTCGGTGTGGATTGAGCTATCGAATCAATACAATAAAAATATAAATGAGTGACATTTGAGAAGTTCAAGATGACAAATACTTACAGGCATGGCAATGGACAATCGCAACCAAGACGGTTTGTCTGTGAAAGGTAGTACATTCTCTGTCTGCATTTCTCTGAAAAAGCAATGTATTAATGAAAGGATACAATTTTTTTATTTCGATGAAACTAGTATGCATGATTTTCGATAGAGATTTCACAGTGGATAGAGTAATCACTTTTAAAGAACTTTTTTGTCAATGTCCTTTATACGAGTCATCATCATTCCAATCTCAATATACTGTGTGACAGTTAGTTGAAGAATCATTGAGAACAATTCTTTACTCCTAAACTCTCTTTTATGAAAAATTGATTATCTGATACCTTCAGTCGAGTTTAAAATCGAGCATGGATTTAACATCGATGTCGCACTATCACTGGCATAAACTGACTCCCATGTCTGGTCGTCCATTATCTCATCTAGGCATTTACACTTGGAGCGTATTTGCTTCTGGAGACACCTCTGGTTACATTCCTAGAAATAAAAAACGATAGTTGGAGATAAATATTATTCTCATTCTATAAAATATGATATTTTCCTTAACCAATATCACACAGGGTGACACAAAAAACACCACCCACTAATTATGGAATACCTTTCTCAAAAATAATAAAAGAATCTACGTGATTTTTTCTGTAGATAGTGTAGATTGTTGTACTTGGATAGCATCGACAACTTTCAGATTAAGAGATATCACATTTGCCGTTCAGGCATACTCTCGGTGAAATCATCAAAACATTTTCAAAAATACAATTTTCTGAAATCGGGATTTCTGCCGTTGCCATTATTTGAGTCATTTCTGGATTGCTTTCACTACTTTACACAAGTCATACATTATCAATAATATGTAATATCTACCCATTTTTCTTAAATAATTTTGTCAAATTTGATGAACTGGCTTGCTTGTTGGATAAATTCTAAGAAAGACAGATTTTCTAATTTACAGTTTTGAGTGATTTGTCAGTCAGGTTCAGTGACTAAGTCAACATTCGAAATTCGTATGTTCATCAATATTTATGAGAATGGTGCCAGACATTTGAAGTAAACCTCTGGTTTATTATTTTCAATATACCTACAGCCAACGTGTAAATGATAATTTTGATGTTCTGTTACATATTGGTGAAGCAATCTTGGGGATATGGCTTAAATTTCTGAATTTCCCCTATGTCCCTGTATACTCCTACATCAAAAGATGTATGTTTGTGTCATTTATTATAAACCAACCAAAAATATTTATATTTCAAGGGTATTTGAAGAAAAATCAAGAAAATCCATGTTTTCAAATGGATTCATCATTGTCAAAGAACGTGAATGAGGATATGCTGTTTGAAAAACTAACAACATGTTTCAAGTTATTACAATTCTTGGTGGAAGCAAATATTTTGAAACTTGTAATTTCAAATGTAATCTCCTACTCAATGAAAATTGTTGAAATTTGTGAAGTTTTTCTTTCGGAATTCACATTGCTGGATCACAGAACCTTGCCTTGTTCGAGATGCACGAAAAGTGTATTGTTAAAACTTGACGTCGTTCGGATATTTGGATGTGATTGGCGTTTTCGGTAATTGCCTATCACTGTAACTTCCAACTGAATTTTCGAAAGCCAAATAAGATGGTCATGAATTGATGTTTAGGTCAAACATTGATGTATACATCATAAGTGTACCTTAATTGTCGAAGACATGCCGGCTTACATAAATGCCAGCTTAATATATAAATATCCACAGTTTAATCCATTTCAATAGTTTTTTTGTAAGGACATTGGGCATTGGGCTCTTTAGAACTTTTTGTTGGCTCTAGAGCCTACTTACTAATAACGTGTAGAGCCCGGTGTAGGTTTCTGATGGATCATGGTTACCATGGGAACAGTTGCTTTCGAATGGTTTAGTAAGTCGTGTCACACGATTCTAAAATAGAAAAAAATATTGACGCAGATAATATTTAGTTTCAGCCATATTAATTTTTGAGGCCTCAACAATAAAAAAAAACATGGCAAAAACTGTTTTATTCAGTTTTCATTTTTGCATGATTTCCACATCAAAATTGATTAAAAAATGCATGACCTTGCACAAATTTGGAACTTCAAATATATGTATCCACGGCACCTGTATTTTACACCCGAATAGAAAGATCAAGGTGCCACTATTTTCTCGAGAGATATAGCCAGAAATCTCTCATCCATCCCTCTAAAGTGATTGAAGCTGTGTTTTAAATGGCTATTTAAGCTTATTGACGCACCTCCCGTACTCCTATAGCAGTTTCCCAGCCAGTTGGAGCAGAGATTCCATAATCCTCAGGAAAGGGAGTGGCATTCCTAGGATGCACAGCAACTCTGACTCCTGACCCATGCGCGAACAGCCCAATGTACTCTTGTCTCTCAATGTTTAGCGTCAGTTTCAGGCCTGGAATTAACCATTGGCATGCAAAATGTCACCACCAGCCATTTGCTACCGACGCCGGGCGCCGAATGTAATTATGAAAAAAGTTGAAACCATAAAAATAGGTCACCGTGTATCCTAACTTTGATAAATACACTGAAAGCGCTGCTTACCAAATCGCGATCCTTTCTTTGTTGTATTAAATACTACTTCCTGTGTAGTAGAGTTGCCATCGTCATAATTAAACGTGAAGCAATTTCCATAGTAACTATTTTGAAACGTTTTAAACAGCCTGAAAGAAGTAACGAATGTCAATTACATTTTCTCCATAAGATGTGTGATGACACAAGGAAGTGTTACAAGACAGAGACTGAACATGAAAGGGAGTGTGCTAAATGCAATTCCCCGTGCGGGAATCGAACCCATGACCTTCCGCAGGCTTCCTAGTCAACTCGTACCCAAGACAACTGGTACCCAAGACAACTCGTACCCAAGACAACTCGTACCCCAGACAACTAGTACCCAAGATTATTTTCAGTATTTGGGTGCATATTAGGGAAAAAATTGAGTTTGTAATGCTTTCATGTTATAATGTGAATCAAATAAGTCTCAATATTTTTTTGAATTTAGACGACATTTTTTCTCAATGGATCAGTAAAGCATTTTTTTTATTAAATAAAAGAAGTGCTTCGAGTGCTTGTTCTCAACATTTTTTTGTCAAACATATATATAAATAAATATAATTACAACATTAGATCTGACACTTGTTCCAAACACTCATAAACATACAATATTTTGAAAATGATTATGAATATGTGGAATAAACATATGTCTCTTCACTCGAACATCCTGAATCTGTGACCAATATAAAATAATAGTCAATATAAATTGACACTCAGCTCAAAATGTCACAAAATTAAATCAATTTCTTCCGAAAATTCTTCTTCAAACTTTAAACTATTCTGAACATTATGTTACAATTATAATATGTATATCTATTCATATTCCCAGTCCAATGCTTGATTCAAAACAAGTGTGTCTTGGGTACGACTTGTCTTGGGTACGAGTTGACCAGTTACCTTCCGCAGGACAGAGTCCGAAGCCATAACGCCTGAGCCATAAGGGCTAGCCACTACAGCTGAGACTTTAGTTTCAAGTTATTATCGAAGGTCATTACAGATGTCAAACTACATCCTTTGAAAAACCAATGTGTACCTTATAATTATATAAAAATGTAAAATCGTGCAGTGAGTCAAACGCCTCTTTTTTCCTTTGTAACTATTTTGATATTTTTAATTAATATATATATACTAAAGCTATTATCACTCACGTGTAGTTACACTTTTTGCTGTCAAATGTGCATGACACGATCATATCTTGAGCGGAATGTCCATATAATTCCAATTCTGTTTTTGTAGGTTTTAAAACACCCATGAGGTCCTGGTAATCATCGGTCTTTGATTTGGTTAGCAGAGTTCTAAAATGAGAAGCGTGGTAATTTTTCCCTTCCTACTCTAATTTAGATTGTATATATTTAATGTTCTATCCAATGGCAACCATTCGAGCATAAAGTTTGAATATTTCTGTACATGTATGTAAAATTTCAAATCAAACAATTCAAGTTTCTTTTTTTTCTTGAAGTGGGAAATGTGACGCATTATCTCGAAAAACAGCTTTTGAAATTAAGTTAAGTCTGGTGCCTTGATAACTGAGGCAGAAAAATAAAAAAAGCTACATACAAGGATAGTTCTTGTTTACAACTTTGGACACTACATATTCATGCTGTCACCATTGTCACTGGACCCCACCTGGTTATAGACGTTACGTCTTCATAACAAAATTGATGAGCTTCCATCGGAGGAAATATTTATTTTCGTCATTTACACCAAGAAGGCGGTCGATTTGCATCCAAATCTTTTACCCGTATGTTAATGGTAACATCGCTGGTTACTTAAGCTGGTCAGTCACAAGAAAATATATGCAGCAGGTCCAATAATCGAGAGAGAATTCCTAACTAGCCTAACTTCAGCAACCAGAATTTATGAATGGTATGGACGTTGTGAATTTCATAACGTCTTTATTACTTTGCTTATCAGTCTATTCGAACATGATTGTATTCACGTCTTCGATAAACTGTGAACAGTCAACATTTCACTCGGGGTATATTCGCGATTCTAATATTGATTTACTGGTCTATATTGGAGTATGTGTGAGCATGGGCTTTCAGTTAGTTGAAAGCCCATGGTATGAGCAATAAAATTCATAAATGCAAAAAATCGTGTCTCTTGTCTGTTTATCTTAGAATCGTAACAATGACCTCGATTTTATGATTTATGTCAAATATATGACCTCAAAATTTATTCTGGCCATTGCCAAAGACCTCAATCGCTACGCGATTTCGGTCTTTAACAATAACAGAATAAAATTTTCGGTCATACATTACGCCATAAATCATAAAATCTAGGTCTTTATTCCTTAAACAATGCCCCTGGTAATACGAGTAATATGTGACGTCATAACGGTGGGCCGTAGTAATGGCGGACCGTAATGAAAATTCGAAACATTCTGGTGAGATTTCATGTTCAAATCGAAATATAGACCTCAGGGCAGGGCTAGGCCCTTTGGTCGTTCGGGGTACAGAAAACGTTTGTGCCTAGCCATGCGGGGTGTATTCGACTATATTACCCCTGCTCTTCGGTCTAAATTTCTTAATTAACGTCCTGGTTGATGAAGGTTGGGGTTTCTCACTCGATTATTGGAGCCCTTGGGTGCATATTGCAAATGCTCGTGACTGATTCCCTTTTCAGTAATCGGATGTAACTGCAAGATAAAAACTAACCTGAAATCGTTTTCAGACACATCACCGAATCCATAGTCATCATAATAACTATAATCATAATTATCATAATAATAAAAGTTGTCATCATAATAATCACTGCTATTTGTTTCAGCTGCTTGATTATCCCGTTTCTGTCTATGTGGGATAGGAGGAGCGGATCGTTGTTCTCTCATGTCAAAGCCGTGGCGTTTTTTCAGTAAACGTAATGTAGCCATCTTAACAACCTCGGGCATATGAATCAATCGAGTTAGATCATTGACGTGATCTGCTCGAAGATTTAACAGTAGTTCATCTTCAAGAAGATCTTCGTTGAATGGAAATTCCTCGACGGCTCGTTTACGTCTATCGGCGACGGTTGTGTGATCGGTTGTGCCAGCATTTGAGCTATTAGTTCTCGAAGTGCTATCTGTTGTTGGACCAAAAGATGTTGTAACAGAATCGGTGTAGTTGAGTGCCCAAGTTATCCAAGAGTTCATACTTGCCTCAGCTTCTGACTGAACACTCAGAAGATTAATATATTTCTCTACATTATTATTGGAAATACTAGTAGCTTTCAACATGTTAAGGTTGCAGATTGTCACAGCGGGAAAGTCTACTATACTCCTAGAAAGAACAAAATGACAACGTTCAAATCAATGGCAAACAATCGAGGCCTGTCAATTGGGATGGCATAAAAGTCAACCGTTTTGGCAATTTAAATTCAAATAAACATATAAATTGCTTTAAAAGTTGAAAAATATACAGAAAAGTTAAATGATCACATATATTATGTACTATCAAAAGCCATCCGATATGTAAACTTCAAACATATGAAAATAAATTTCACACGAAATACAGGGTGACAGAAAAAGTGTCACCTAGAATATAATATATCTGAATGTTTACCAAGTAACTCTATTAAATTTAGAGAAATTTTATTTTTGTACCCTCGCCTATTTTTCAACGTTTAGAGTTGCATTCAGCTCTGATGGAGATCGTTTGGAGCATTTCCCCAAAATGTTAGATTTCTTCGTATTCGTAAGCAACTTACAAAATATTATTTTTAACCGCCATTATCGGAAATTCTTTATACTGTGCAAAGTCTCGATGAAGTTAAGAAAGAGTTATTTATGTTTCATTTGAGTACATTTTTGGGGGGACACCCTGTAAATGAATTCTGCAATATTGCAAACTGCTAGTATAGGGAGGGGTAGCGGAGAACACTTTACTAGTAATTTGCCATCTCAAGAAATTGCGGAATATTAACCATTGATTCATGGCGCAATATATGACCGATGGTGTTTCAAATAATTTTCGTAAAGCGATTAAGGCCTTGAACGAAAGAGCAGAATAAAATACGTCCGTTCATATACATTTTATGCTGTGTACACTTTAATTGTCGCACTTGTTTTTTAGAACAAAAATGTAACTTCGTATACCAACCACATCGATCACTTTTAGCTTTCCAATTCTTGAAACTTACCTGGGGTAGACTTTTGAATTGATTCCAGATGGAAAAGTTCCAAACTTTATTCCAACGCGAATGATGATCTGAAGTAAGATAAAAAATAAAAAAAATACATGTACAGTATACGGTGATTATCAATATTTAAGAATCCCTTTTTCAACTGAAAGATTTTCTAGACATTTAAACCAAAAAACTCTAAAACTAAATTTTCCACTTTCTTTATTACAAATTATCAAATGATAACTTTTCAGATACATATTCTACGCTGATTCTTCATTAGACAGTTCGGTATACTACAGCAAGACCATAGGCATAGCCAGGGGGTTGCGATGGATGCGATCGCACCCCCCCCCCCCCATCCAATAAAAATAAAACCATGAGAATGAGTTAGAACAAGAAAAGAGCTTTAAAATGCTATTATTTGAAGCATCTAGCTCAATTTTGAAGGAAGTTGCATCAATTTTTGTAAAATTCAAAGAAATCTTATTTTTGGCAAGTTGTTCATGCCACAATCAACCCCCCCCCCCTTATAATAGACTACGTACATTGAGGCAGTAACCACTGGCTGCCAGGAACAGGACTAACCATACTATTTTCTTCACGGGGCTGGCTGAGGACCAAACACGTGGAAGGCCATGCGCCCCAAAGCTCCCCATGAATTCATCAGTAACAGTTTTGGCATCAGAAGCTCCTTTTATTTCCTCTTCTTTTGTATCAATCACCGTCATATTATCTAGATCATCTTTCTCATTCATTTTGTCGATGTTACGTAATACAAACCAAATATTCCATTCTATGGTTTCGAATATGTGTTCATCTTCTCCCTCAATATATATTATATATGGAAATTATATCAACATTATTACAGATTAAAAAGCTTGCCTTATGGAAATTGTCATTGCTCCTACATGTTACATTGTTGTAAATATTGTTGCAAAGATCTGACAGAGTACAAAGAAACACAAACACGCATTTAGAGATTAAGGCTTAATCTATGAGTCGTTTATCATTCAACTTTTGGGTAAATCCAATCACACATGCTATAAAACTGCTATACTAAAGCCTTATCCGAGTTCAGATTCAAAACTGAGCCAATTGTGGGTTAGGTCGACTGTTTCCAGTAGGGGATTGAAAGGCTTATTGGAGAGTTCATATAGCTTAGGCTAGTTTAAATTAGGAACAATAAGATTAAGAAATGAAAGGTTGCCGAGTTTCAGTTAATGTTCTTGGAAAAACGGGACAGTTACCGTCCTAATGTCTTGTATTTCTGAATTATGTTGTAACAAAGTGCGAAGTACATTAATTAAGATAACTGAGATAAGCAGAGGTTCAAAAAATTATGCAGGCAAAAAATTGAAATTACGCCGTAAAAATCTGAATAATACTGAAGAAAATACAAATAATGCAACCACGTTATGGCATGAATTCCACATTTCAAACGAAGGAAAGCCATCTTAAATTTTGTTATAGCACCGACCCAATCTCACCATATGTACCGCCATTTCCGGTGTAAAAGGGTAGGTGGTCCTATCAAATTTTGGTCCTACTCTCTATTGATTAATATGGTGACCTAATTACAATTATTTTCCTTATTATTTATACACAGTCAGGGCCAGTAAGGGCCGTAAGGAAAGGGGACCATAATCCCCAGGGGGACCATAATTTCTTTTACACCGGTATGGATGATTTTTGAACTTTTTTAGAGTTCGTTGTTTTATATGTCTCTTGTTGAGACATTCACTAAATTATCATCTGATGAAACAGTGAAACATCACATGAGATATTTTGAGAAAGGTGTAAATCATGCAAAAATATATGCTGATAAGTGAATATTTTGACATTTCAAGAAATTCAAAATTATACACATTTTTTCAATACCTAAAGACGAAAGCCGTATAGTCTAGTTTTTTTGTCGTTTCAATCCAACATTGGAGACCCGGGGTTTGGAGTTATTTTCGTTCAATGTAAATGACGAGAAATAGTAAAACATCATTTAATGCATTGTTGCATAAAATGCATGTTCATTAATTATGATTTCAACGATGAAAAGTGGCAACTATTTTTGTATTTAAAAATGGAAATAACATTGATATTCTAGTACAATGAAATAACAACAAATAAATATTAATTTGTCTAGTGACTGTCATGATAAGTTTGATTGGCGCCATTTTTGATTTCAGCCGATACCGTGATCGAATTTTATGTTTCATCGCATTTTAAGGGAAGCCATACCATCTAAATATAGGAAGCATGGTGAAAAGGGTAAGAGCATATGACTCTCATTACTAGATCAATATATCACAAAATCATTTATTAGGTGTTGTCACTTGCCAGGGTTAAATATTGAACAGCGAAAAAGTTCAAATCATTCTGATTCAACTTGAATTCAATTTCAAGTCTAGCCTAGGGATCAATCTTTGCTCCACATGCCCCCAGGCCTAAATCCGACGCCTTGTTCATCAAACTGGCCCAGTCAGGACTAATAACTGTGCAGAACCATTTGGCTAGTCTTTAATAGTAATATCCTGGGAGAATTATCTGGGGAATTAATGTCTCTAACGAGATCTGGCAGTCAGCACTCCGAACCATCTGTCCTTCAATGAAGAAATCATATAAAACGATGAATCATTAAAGATCGTCCAAGAACATGGAGAATGCCCCGTGTTCGAGAATGCCCATATTACTAAATAAGTTACAATTGAGGATAATTGAGCGATCCCCAAAAATATTTCGGTTTCCAATCAGGGGGGGGGTGCGATTGTGGAATAGACAAGCCAAAAATAAGATTTATTTTGAATTTTAATAAAAATCAAATAGGCTTCAAATAAAAAGCATTTTAAAACTCTATTCTTCTTCCATCCGAAGAAGGAGGTAAGCTTACGGATTCTGGATACCTGCTTAGGAGGATGTTCTTCTTCTTTTTCAAGTTTTTTTCATTGGTTAAATCGCACCCCCCCCCCTGGCTACACCTATGTTATGGGTAATAATAAACACCAAGCGTATTTATGCTCTCATTTCAGAAGTCTGAACCCCTAGAATCGAAACTTGGGACAGAGAACCTTGATGTATCATCAAATGAGGCTGACGCCAATGCAACTGCCGAGTCAGCAGAAGTGACATATGCCTCATCACATTTTGAATGCAATGAAGTCGGGTAAGATAAGAACGTTTCAATCCGAGTGGGAGGAAAATGGGAGAATTTCAATTACGAAAAGTGATTTTTGACTTATCGTGTTCATACCCTCATATAACATGTATTAAACGAGCGAAAGCTGAACGTATCATCAAAAATTCCAGTACAACTGATGCTCCTGTTGTTGAGGATGGACAAAGACCACAACACAACGAAGCTGAAACTGGACAAAAAAGAAACAAAGTAGATGTAAGTACTTACGTGTATTTAAATGAACTTAGTTTCAGGACTAAAACTTGTCTAAATCATACTCCACTGTACATTCTGCCTGTCGCATGTATAGATAGAACATTCTTACTTTATTATTGCTTACTATTTTAACAATTTCAGAAGGATGGCTTTACTACACCCCTTAGTCCTGTTCCTCGGTCTAACCAGCGGGATTATATCGTTAGTGGTGCTGCTGTGCGGGCGAAGACAGGTGATCTATACCTAAAATGAATCTTAGCCCTCCAGGATGTATGTATTTGAAAAGAACGAATGAATCATATTGAAATAAGCTTTGAAATAAGCCGAATAAATTGCAAGATCTGAATTTCACTATCTAATATAGCCACGAGTTTTTAACTCTTTAAATCTTTTGATCCAAATCTACATGTTCTTAATGCTCTGCTATTACTAGTACTAGTTTAAGTCATGGTAGCCATATGGTGCTGTAATATTTCTGTAAACCTTTGCGCCATCCACAAATTATATATTTATTATCATATTGTATGAATTGTATGAAATAAACAAACAAAACTAAAAATCTGAAACCTGCTATCAAATATTCCTGTATTACCTAAAATCAAGATAATATCAAATATATACATTTTTATAAATACTTTTCATAAATACTTATTTATTCACAGAAAATACACGACTGTTTAAAGACGATGACAACAACCTCGAAAATGGAAAGTCTAAAGCCAACATGCTGTCCGTGGCTGATATCATAAAGGGTACGTTAACTGAATTAACTGCGCACACAATGTTCGAGGGGGATATGGAGAAGCCGTTTGTCCATTCGTCCGTCCGTCCGGGCAATAATTCAAATACCAGTTAGTGGATTTGATTCAAATTTTATGGTCTTATACCTAATGAGGAAAAGACATCTGATCGAGAAGGAATTTTCAGAATGGTCGCTCAATTCGATATGACTGCCATTTTTCATAAATGTTAACTTCCATAATAACTCACACACCAGTTGACAGGTTTGGCTCATGCTGATGCCTTAGAGATATAGGACTATGCTCACAGGAAATGTTTAAAATGACCATGGATTTCACAAAAAATTAGGAGATTACATATACGGCACTTACAAGTTGACAGATTTTGATAAAATACTTTATCCTACACTTAGTGTACTAAATGTATAATAACATTAAAAAATAAATTTGATATTTATTGGCAAAATGAATATCCGGAGGATATCGTAACGATATACTCCGGGCGGAGGATATCGTGACGATATACTCCGGAAAACCCAATATGCGGAGGATATTGTGACGATATACTCCGCTTGTTGATTTCCCGCCAAATTGACTCTATTTGGCATGGAATTCATTTTGCAATGATATTATACATTTAGTACACTCCTTGTAAGTGTAGGATAATAAGAACATCCTATGATTTTTTCAGAATATCATTTTAATCTACTCGGTGATATTGATATATGCACTCGTTCGCTTCGCTCTCTCGTGCAGATATCAATATCACCTCGTAGATAAAAATGATATTCCTCAAAATCATAGGATATCCTATAAACATACTAGTATTATAACGTTTCATTTTGGTGGGATTTGCTACTCTGCGAGGGAGTTGCTGTTTTCTAGTTTTACTAGTCTATCGTATAAATCTTGGATACGTTTGATAATTAGGCTTGCAATGAAGCACGACTGAACCCAAAAAACTAAAAATGAATTTATAAATTCCAGAATGTGAAGAACAGACAAAATTATCCAGTATCTCTTCAACTCCTATTTTAAGGTATGGAATATCTCGTAGCTTTATTAAATTCCTTGTCAAGTTGACTGAGATGTTGTCTTAAACCTGATCGGTTAGAATGTTTTGCAAGGTGGGTTGCCAGCCATTATTCAAACTCGATCTTCCATTGCCTGACGTGGAACAATTTGGACCGACCGACCGAATTATTTCGTTGGATGATTGACATTACGAATATTATGTTAATATTCAACCTTCTCGGCAGTTCTAGTCTTCAAAATAGTAAATTGTTACCAAATTGATCTACAACCGGCAACGAAGGCAAGAGTGTGAAAGTCGTAGATTCTACTTGTATAAGTTAATCTACATGTATAATTGTATTTTTATTTTATTAATTGCACATCTTCCAATGGAGTGCTATTGTTAGCCTCGCCCAAGTCGGTATTTTTACTTATCCTGATCTTGAATTATTACCATAATAGAAATCAAGATAAGTAAAAGAGACCGAATTGGGCAAGGCTATTGTGTTTATTATATAATGGTCTCTTTCAGCGAGAGCGAAAGTTTTGAACTATTTTGTCCAACTCGTCTTGATCAGATTTTGTCCGATGCCCTTGCGTTGGAAGCCAGCCTAAAACAACAGAAGGAAGTTCTACGCCAACGTCTCAGCGTTCTATCAAGTACGCTCAAGATTATTTAAAACACCATGGTTTGAGGATGTTTGAAACAACACAAACTATTAAGGATGGAGAACATTCGAGCACAAAAACGTATATGCCAAAGATTGAAAATTAAAAATGCAGTCGCATATTAGTAGATGGAAGGCATCTTATCAGATCAGCGGATTCATATTTCGAGTGACAAAGCAAGACTAAAATTACACAATGAGACAATGTATACACCTGGGGTGTGATCATGTATGCACCTGGGGTGTGACCATGTATACGCCTGGGGTGTGACCATGTATGCACCTGGGGTGTGACCATGTATACACCTGGGGTGTGATCATGTATGCACCTGGGGTGTGACCATGTATACGCCTGGGGTGTGACCATGTATGCACCTGGGGTGTGACCATGTATACACCTGGGGTGTGACCATGTATACACCTGGGGTGTGACCATGTATGCACCTGGGGTGTGACCATGTATGCACCTGGGGTGTGACCATGTATACACCTGGGGTGTGACCATGTATGCACCTGGGGTGTGACCATGTATGCACCTGGGGTGTGACCATGTATACACCTGGGGTGTGACCATGTATGCACCTGGGGTGTGACCATGTATACACCTGGGGTGTGACCATGTATGCACCTGGGGTGTGACCATGTATACACCTGGGGTGTGACCATGTATGCACCTGGGGTGTGATCATGTATGCACCTGGGGTGTGACCATGTATGCACCTGGGGTGTGATCATGTATACACCTGGGGTGTGACCATGTATACACCTGGGGTGTGACCATGTATGCACCTGGGGTGTGACCATGTATACGCCTGGGGTGTGACCATGTATGCACCTGGGGTGTGACCATGTATACACCTGGGGTGTGACCATGTATACACCTGGGGTGTGACCATGTATGCACCTGGGGTGTGACCATGTATGCACCTGGGGTGTGATCATGTATGCACCTGGGGTGTGACCATGTATGCACCTGGGGTGTGACCATGTATACACCTGGGGTGTGATCATGTATACACCTGGGGTGTGATCATGTATGCACCTGGGGTGTGACCATGTATGCACCTGGGGTGTGACCATGTATGCACCTGGGGTGTGACCATGTATGCACCTGGGGTGTGACCATGTATGCACCTGGGGTGTGACCATGTATACACCTGGGGTGTGACCATGTATGCACCTGGGGTGTGATCATGTATGCACCTGGGGTGTGACCATGTATGCACCTGGGGTGTGACCATGTATACACCTGGGGTGTGACCATGTATACACCTGGGGTGTGATCATGTATGCACCTGGGGTGTGACCATGTATGCACCTGGGGTGTGACCATGTATACACCTGGGGTGTGACCATGTATGCACCTGGGGTGTGATCATGTATACACCTGGGGTGTGATCATGTATACACCTGGGGTGTGATCATGTATACACCTGGGGTGTGACCATGTATGCACCTGGGGTGTGACCATGTATGCACCTGGGGTGTGACCATGTATGCACCTGGGGTGTGACCATGTATACACCTGGGGTGTGATCATGTATACACCTGGGGTGTGACCATGTATACACCTGGGGTGTGACCATGTATGCACCTGGGGTGTGACCATGTATGCACCTGGGGTGTGACCATGTATGCACCTGGGGTGTGACCATGTATGCACCTGGGGTGTGACCATGTATGCACCTGGGGTGTGACCATGTATGCACCTGGGGTGTGATCATGTATACACCTGGGGTGTGATCGAAACATTTGCCCACCATGATTGAGCATGCTATTTTTCATAAAAACACTAACAAACTTCACAAATTATTTTTAACTCATATGTTACGTTTTACCAAAGAATTTGCCTACTCCACCTTGCAATAGGTACAAAAATAGTACTACTAGATATAGTATATCATTTGCGGATAACCTTCACTTGAATCACTTCTCAATATGTTTGCATGCTCCCCCACGGTGGACAAATTTTTCGATCACATCTCGTGACAGGGCTCAGTCGTATGGTCATGAGCTCAAAATATTTCATATTTACAATGATCTGTAACTTGAGCCATCCATCAATAGATGTCATGTTTGTACTGTACATGTATATTGTACGACCTTGAAACCGATTGCTTGCACTACACAGTGAACACACGTAGGTCGTACAGAAAGCAGCACGACAACTTCCAAAGTGTCTATAGTGCTCTTCCTACGCCTTATCTGGCCAGATTTAGAATGGCATCATACAGTTCTCGTATATTGTAGTAGTTATATTCACGAATGATAATTGTCATAATAAACTTTTAAAAATCAGAAAAATATAGTTAATCTCGGTCTAGGAAACACTGCACCCCTGGGCACTATAACATGACATCATCAATCTGTCCAATACATACTTACAGGCCCGTAACCAGCTTTTTGCCAAGGGGGTTCACTTTTTGAAAAATTCCTGGGGGGACATATGACAACTTTGCTCCAAAAATAGCTAAAATTACTTGGAAAAAGCTCAGACTGGTGAAAAACTCACGGCATGATTTTGAAACTTCGACCTCAGAATTTTTGGCCAGTAGGGATGGGGTGGGACCCGGGGTGGGGCTTCGCTCGAAGTCCTAGTTTATTTATGTAGGGATCGAGGTAGCATAACAGGCGCTGACAGGGTTTTTATGGGAAATTTGTTGATCTAGTATTGATGTACAGGCCCGTAGCCAGAGGGGGGTTGGGGGAGCTTCCGCCCCCCCCCCCCCCGGCCAGAAATTCTTTCAAAATCATGCAGTTTTTCACCATTCTGAGAATAATTCGCATAAAAAATTGAAAAAAGCTCCCCCCCCCCTGGAAAAAAGCTCCCCCTCCTGGTAAAAGCTGGCTACGGGCAAGATGTATATATTAAAACGAATCGCTCATCCTTTTTCAGTTATCACTATTTATTAATCTGTTATTCCGGATCATGGTTTATTTAGGCTTACTAGTATTTCATTTAATAAGATACCGCATGGAATGAGTTTAAATAAAATATCTTACACCTATGTTATATAATTTTTGATGTCCTCCCAAAAAATCCGGAATCTATCAAAAGTCTATACAACACCTTGTTTTTAAAGGGAACATCGAACAATTTCAACCTCGGAAAGACAAGGAATAGACAAGCATTCAGTGTTGCCATCTTTATATCGGCTTAAAACCTATGCAATCCAATTTTTAAATTTCCCGCTAAAATGAATAAATGACGAATAGTATTAATATACTATTTCTATGGTATTTTCTTCTTTAGAGAATCTTCTCAGAATAATTCTGATTTAGTTCGGATTTCAGGATTATTTGATATTACTTTAGAGTCTCAAAATAAGAAAAGATATGATTTAGAAGCTGACCAATGAAATCACTCGATTTATTCAGCCCGTCATGTAGCTGAAGATGAAGATCATGGCGGAAAACGATTATTTTCCCATCGGAAGTTTAGTGTCGTGTAAGACATGCCATGGTCAAGAGATTCAAGGAGAAGTAATGGCATTCGACCATGGATATAACCTTCTAGTTTTGAGTATCCTTTTGTACAACTCTGAATAATGTGTACGTTAAATATTGGCTAAGTGTATCGCATACCATTGTGTGATTTTCACAAATTTTTTCTATTTTTTGATGCTTCTGAATTGTGAATTATTTGGAGATAATTTCGTTTATTGTGCCGAATTTATGATATTTTTATAACATCAATAGTATTCTTTTTCTGTAGTTATGAGAAACATCCAAGTGATGTTTGTTCAACTTTTGCATCTATACTCAACTCGATTGTACGATTTCAGTGTTTTATTTCATGTATTGTGGTCATTATCCAATGATCATGGACCTAGTGTCAATCCCAAAACCATAAAACATTGACAGAAAAATGCTCATTAACCTTTAAATGATTTCCTGGATTCCGGCCCCGTTTGCACCTAATATTATGTTTCCTATAGACCATAAACTCGTCAAGAAGACCTTGAATATGGGTAGATTTGAGGGCTTTTAGTCTTCAATTTTTTGTATTTTTCTTCGTCAGTAGGCCAGAATAACTGCAAGAGATAGCCAGTAATAGACTGCAACAGCCACATCGCGTACCATGCATACGATTATATCAGACAGTTGCGGGTCCATGAAGCATTGACACGGTTATACTGTAAACATGTAACCTCAGCTGCAGTAAGAATCTTAAATTGTAGATTCAAAAATGTTTCAAAAATTAAATTGCGGGGTGTCCATCCTTTCAATAACGCAGATGCGAGTAGGTAGTTACCAGATTCACCACCAGGTGGCTCGTTCGGGTCAGATAGCATGGCAGGTATAGGAGAAAGTTCCCTTAAACTTAAATCACATCTGTTTTAATGATTCAATTTTCATATAACCCTAATGTATCTAATAGTTATGCAAACTGAAATATGTCCAGTAAAAGAAAATGTTATCTATCCAATACAAGAAAAGATATTTCACTTTTTGTGATTTTGTATCATAGGGTCTATGGGGAATCAACCCGAACAAGAAGTCACATTTTCAAAAAAAATTAAATTTTCAAAGTTGATAAACAATTTTCGAAACCGTATTTCTAGATGTACTTTTACATGCAGATTTCAAATATGACATCACTTTGACTGAATTTTGAATATTTAATGACGTAAATCAAGATTTTTTCTACTCGCACCTAGTCTATTGCTTATTTAGAAGTTTATTTCCAAGTCTGATTGGTGGTATTGGTCGACAAGTGCATATATTTTAAGAAAATAGGTATGGCGAAGAAGATATAGGCTAAACGTTGCACTAATAGCTCGGGAAAGGTAAAATGACTCCCAAATTTTCTCTATGGTCTTTATTGCACCTTTAAACTCAAAAAAATTGGCCTAATATAAGGAAAATTCGAACTTGACTGGATTCACTCCTTCTATAAACTGTGAACAAAGTCAAAATTTCACCAGGAATTTATTTGTCAATACCATACCTGATCTGTACTAAGTTACTCGAGTCTCTAGCCAATCCTTGGCTAGAAGTAATTCCACCTGGAACACCGTAAACTATTGTAAAATTTCTAGTCGGGGTTCAATAAAGGATAGGTATCGATATGGTGAACTGAATTCAACTATGTTTTTCTCTTAAACAAATTATTGAAAACACTCCTTTAAGTAATATTCTAAAAACTGTCATGTTAATATTTCATGAATTGAAATGGAACTGGCTGGGCTTCTTGATGAGATATTGCATGCTTTTGTCAGTATTTCATCTAAAATTAAAACAAACGACTCCAAGAAAAATGGCGATATTCGAAAACTTGACAAAATGTTGTTCACGTCTGACATTAGTAACTGGCTTTAAATTCTAAGTTAGTGATCCAGAAGATGCAAACTAATAAATTGATCACTTCATGTGTGTTTTGTATTTTTTGGTGGGGTAATACAACCAAAACTCGCAATTCAAATTGTGATGTGGAAAATGGCGAACATTTGATTTCAAATTTTATGATTACGAAATGACCTGTGCTCAGCAGCATGACTCGCATCCGGCATAGTAAAAAACATGAAGGCTGAAGGCCACGATATAGTGGTCGTAGAAGAAGGTATTGTACTGAGTGTTTCGTTCAGTGCTAAATGCTAATCATGTTCGAATCTTAATATAGATCTCATATCACGCCCATATAATCGAAAAAGTATAGCGTTGGGAACGATGTCAAATGTTGAAACTTCAAAAAATGTGGGACTCTGCTGAATAATTCATCAATTTCATGATGAACTATTTTAGGAGGCCATTTTTATCAAAATTCAGTATTAGGCCATCAGCTTCACCCCAAAATTTAGCTTATCGGTACCAAGTTAGGGGAATAATGCTCATAGTGATTTTTGGCAAGGTAAATACCTCCAGAGTAAGAAAATATGTGATAGCATTGCAGGAGTGGTAGCTTATGGGTGTTATCGCCCATTTTTCAAAATGGCTGCTATTGCGCTTTTTACCAAATAAAAGAAATCATATCTTAGTATAATGAGAGGCAAAAACAGTGATTTTGAAGTGTATTTCTGGGTTTTAGGGGTCAAGGATTTCATTTATGTCAAAATCTAAGTCATCAAAAAATTGCTTTATATGGAAATCCAAGATGGCCACCAAAATGGGTCTCAAAACAAATATGTTACTATTGATATAAGCTAAAAAAGCTCAAAGAACGGTTAAAAAGTGATTTTGGAGACCATGAATAGGTTTTAGAGGCTGAGGATTTTATCTGTGTCTAAATTTAAGTAATAATAGAAAACCTCTATATGAAATTCCAAGATGGCCGCCAAAATGAGTGCCAAAATGAATATGTAAACTATTTATATTAACTCAAAGAATAGTTAAAAAGTGCTTTTGCAGACCATGATAGGGTTTTAGAGGTTAATACAGATTCCATCCATGGATAAATCTAGGTGATTAAAGAATACCTTTTTATAGAAATTTGAAATGGCTGCCAAAATGGCCAAACATATGGCTGCTAAAATGAATTTATACGCACATAGAAAAGTTAGAAAAGTAATGTACGTAACAGATATCTGAAACTAGGTTTCAGGGGAAAATGGTTTCAATTTAGCCTTTACCAAAGTCATCTTAACCTTTCCTCATATTAAAATCCAAATCACCAAAATGGCTGCCAAAATGAATATTTACATGTACATACATGAATATCTATAAGCATTAACAGAGGATGTTGGCAACTGATTGTGGTATCTTTGACTAGTTAACTAAGATGTAGGGATTGAGGATTTCAGTTACCATTGAAATTTTTTCTTTTTACTTTAATTGTTAAATTGTTGTCTTGATGAAAATCAAAGATGGGTGCCAAAATCGCTGCCAAATTGGCTGTTGGTTAAGATTTTTCCTATGTTCTAGCTTACTTCTCTCCTTATCTGTTATAACCTCTATATTTTTCAGTGTTCTTTGTTGTTTTCATTTTTGTCTTTGTTTTTTGTTTTCTTTCTTCTGTTTTCTTTGCTGCCTTTCAATTTTCTTGTTTTATTAGTGTTTTCTCATTTGTGTTATCTTTTTTTTCATTTTCTTTGTTTTTCTCTTTTTCTTTTTTCTTGGAATTAGAGTCAATTAGAGCTTTCAGGATACACCAAAATTTAACTTGGTCCATTGTCAAGAGCTGATTCCCAGAGTGCTAAAATACTTATTAACCTTTTTTGGGTGTGTGTTTGTTTGAGATTATTAGCTGCCTTTGTATACCACTCAGCTGAAAAGATTCCCTGGATTGCACTAAATACATGCACAATTGGCCATCATCTCGAGGCAGCTTAGAATCCGTTATGCTCCAGGGAATGACTAGGTCATAACAGTGATGATGTCCACATAGGCTTGGCAAGAAGGATGTTTTGTGTCATCATTCACTTTGAGACCTCTTTACTTGGACTCTTCTGCTTTCACAATCCAGTTCATTGCTGCGATGAAGAGGGTACAATTGAGATGGTACATCCCATCTTGGATATTCAAATAAATGTATTCCAAAATTACTTTTTATTTTGGCAGCCATTTTGGTTGCCATCCTGAATATCCAAATAAAAGAATTATTTGATGACTAAGTTTTAGACATAATTAAAGTTCTCGACCATTGAAACCTAGACATGGTCTCCAAAATCACTTTGAACATATATTAATAGTAACATATTCATTTTGGCAGTCATCTTCGATTTCCACATCAAGTTATTCTTTGATGACTAAGACAATAAAATCATTGATCCCCTAACACTTTCATGGTCTACAAAATTAATTTTTATCTGTTCTTATATCAATACATGTGGTGGCCATCTTGGATTTCCATATAAAGCAATTCTTTGCTGACTTGGACTTAAATGAGGCATAAATGAAATCCTTGACCCCTTAACCCTTTCATTGTCTACAAAATTGCTTTTTATCTGTTCCTTGAGCTTGCATATATATCAATACCGTAATAGCATATTCGTTTTGGCACCTATTTTGCGGCCATCTTGGATTTCAATATAAGGTAATCCTTTGATGACATAGCTTTAGACATGAATAAAATCTTCAGACTCTAAAACCTCTTCTAAAACTCTTCAAAATCATGTTGAAACATTTTTGAGCTTTTATCATTAGGACATTTGTTTTTGAACCAAATTTGGCGGCCATTTTGGATTTCCATATGAATTAATGTTTTGATGACTTGGATTTAGGCATAACTCAAATCATTGACCCCTAAAGCCCAGAATTAGAGCCTAAAATCACTGATTTTGCCTCTCGATATGCTTAGATATAACTTCTTTTATTTGGTAGCAAGCGCTGCGGCGGCCATTTTGAAAAATGGGTGATAACACCCATTAAGCTACCACTTCTGCAATGCTATCACATATTTTCTTACTCTAGGGGTCTAGACCTTCCCAAAAATCACCATGGCCATTATTCCCCTGATTTGGTACAGACCAACCCCCCAGGCTGATCGCCTATATTACGTCATTGCATGATAACTCATATTGTGCATGCTACAGGTTTTTAGTACGTTGTAATATTCCTTAACATTCACCAGAATCAGCTGCAGGAAGTGGAAAGGCCAATACTCATGATGTTAGGTTTATAAATCTCCAACTAGTAGAGGACGTCAAATTTCTAAATGATGAACAAACAGAAGCACCTCCTCTCACAAGTCTCAACATAAGCAAGGTAAAAAATGACCTTTGTAAATTTTAACGTCAACTTTTTTGAACATTAATTTTTTTATTTTAACTCCAAGAGTAGCGGCCATTTCTAAATACTGAGGGGTTTGTATCATTTTGAAATTCAGCCAATAATTCATCAGCAATTCCGAATGAATTTAAGAGGATTGCTGAAGATAACAGTACCTGGCCTCTCCAATCAAATACTATCACTTCATTGGCCCATCAAATTGTTCGTATTGGCAATGCTCGGAACTTCATTTAAAAATAGGTTGATGGCAGATATTTTGAATTACTGGCTAAATTTAAGCGTTAAGTAAATCCCTCCTTAATTAGAGGTCCAACCATATTTACCCATGGCAGAATGTGAAGAGTAAAGGAAGAGAATAAATTGAGCACCAAAAATGTTTGTGTTTTGAAAAATAAAGGAGGCTTCATATTATTGGTGCTCTGACTTCATGACCATGAACCAAAGACCAGTGGGCACTGAACTTGATAAGGCTTAAAATTTTTATTTTTTTCATGGTTTTATTTTATTACTATTATGTACTACTTCATTAAATCAGATGTTGGCATTGATTTTTATTCTCATTGCATCAAAAAGACATGTAATTATTTCTTTCACACCCATGAGTTCCTGAAGGTGTTATGTTGTGACCCTTTTTGGCTTAAGATGGTGTTTAAGATTTTTATGAATTATTTCAGTTACATAGCAGGGCAAGACAAAGTGTTGAAGAGAAGCAAAGGCAGGTGAAATACATTGGTGTAGGGGTGACAGCAGAAGCCCAGCAGCTATTTCATTTTATTACTAAAACGTAAGTACACAAGGTGATAAGTTGGATGGACCTCATGGAATGTTATTATATGAGGTACAGAACCTTATTGTCTTGATTCCTGATATAATGATATGATGGGTAAGAAGAATATTACCATTATTAAATCAGTGAAAGAAGCTGCACTGGGAGAAAATCGGGTTAGTGAGATAACCCATTCCAAAATCCAAATGTTACAACTTATGACAATATAATATACAATGTATGCTTTAATACATAGTTTGACTTAGCCTTGCCCAAGTCAGTATTTTTTACTAATCTGATCTTGAATTATTACCGCCTTGTACAATCCAATACATCTCCGCTGATATTATGCTGAGATATTCAACGGTTTAGAGATTTCCATAATACCTACTCTATCAGGGGTATCGCGAAACCTTATTGATTGACAGATTGCATGGACGACACGATGTGTGACTTCAGGCTGATTGACCAATCAAAACGTTATCAGGTTGAGCTGCATAAACAAAGCAAACTTCCCGTCTACGACTTGAAATGATCTGATCGAGTGTTTCTTGAAGTTGCAATATCATTCATGAATATATTATGTAATTAAATGTACATTGGAATGTAAAAGTCATCAATATAAATTAAATCATGCGATTCAATGTTGATTTAAAACTGATTTCGCGATGAAAATGTAGCGGGCCAAGCAGTCGTCAATCAGTGATTCAATCTCAGCCTACATGTCGATCATTTGAATTCAGCGATCGTTTCAACGTTTATTGTTGAAATCTTATCACCTCCGGTTATCCAATCGATGTTCCGGCACCCACTAAACTCTGATTGATATTTATCTGATAAAATATTTGTATTTTCATGATGAATTCGTGCAAGATTTGTTCGTGAAAAGTCCCGGTGAAAAGTGTACTTGTTTTAGACCGTGCATAATAATGAGCTAACGCTACAGGGCCGTCGTTGATTGGTCAAATTTTACCGACATCAACAAACTGTCAGTAAAGCAAGTGGCTTTCTCTTTGGTACAAGGCGGTCATAATAGAAATCAAGATAAGTAAAAGAGACCGACTTGGGCAAGGCTAAGTTTGACTTTAAAAGTGAAATTGTCCAGAAAAGTATAAGGAAATCATAGTCTGTATAAAATTAACATTCAAAAAATAAATTCTAAAAACTTGTTGAAATGATTGGATATTGAATGTTGAAATGGTGAATACAGTTACCTCACTTAATTAAAAGGGATCAATTTCTAACCATCTTTTCAAAGGGCCCTTTGTCTATTTCTGATTCTACTTTAAACCAAAGTTGAAGTTTACAAGACTGTTTTTGGAAAACATTTAGTTTTGTATCAAAATCTGTTGATTTTGCAGATTGCATTCTGTTTTGAATTTTGAGTGCTTTAGCGAATTGATTGATAATTTTTTTTATCATTTTTGCAGAATAAACGATATCCGATGGGAAGGCAAAAATATAGTGGTCTTTGACACAGTCATTGTGACGCCTCCTTATTCGGTGAACAACTGCACAGGCAAAGATGGGAGTGATGCCTTAACACATATTAGAAAACTAGTAAGTAAAGTATAGCAGATGTATCCTTGAGCTGTCATCATGTCATTCTCGTTGTATTCTAGTAAGACTAAATGCAACTTAATGACATATTCACTGACTTGACCCAGCCATGGACAAATGGTTCATAAGTGGACTTAACTCATTGCTGACTCATTTCTTCTGTGACGTCAAAATCATATCTGACTAACCCCAAGATACCTCGGGGTGCTGTCCAATAATTGTCACACAATTTGTAAATATACCAAATGAGGGAACATGGTTGGGTGCAACTGAAATATACTCTCATTGGCTTCACAATTGCATAAAACAGCAAAAAGGGTGTAGATACAGTAAATTCTATGTTAATAGGGAAACATGCCATCTTGCTCAATTTTTCATCAATATGTCCAGTCACGAGCAGAAACATTTCATAATAGCTTTGACCAGCAATACAATGAGTTAAAAAAATATTTGAAATTGCAATGTCTCCTTGGATGCCTAGGCCTATACCTGAATAAGTAAACAAACAAAGATTGTAAGTGGCCAGATATGTACTTGTAACAAATCTAAATGGCAATTAAAACTAAACAAAAAATCAATTTTAGTTACCAGTTACTGAATACAAAGGAGCATGTATGCTATCGCAAACAATTTTAGAAGAGTCGATTCTAACTTGAATTATGAATATTTTCTGATCATGAACACAGGTGTATCTTTTAGACCCATTCATTATCAATCAAAAATACTTTTTCCAAATTGTCGACCTAATTTTCACCAAAAATGCAACCTTTTATTATATTGTTGAATGCATTATTAGAATGTGCTTTGAGACATGTTCTATTTCCTATAAGAAAAAGTGGATTCCTCCAGGGACTTTAAAGTTATTGAATTTTGATGACCAAACTGAGCTGAAACCAAGGGATAGCATGAGTTTTTTCAATGGGGAAATAACATGGGAAACACTAATCCTCAGTTTTCCTTTCAAGAACTATTTGATACATCAAAATAAAGAATACTAATACATTAAACATTGTAAAAAATGATTGCATTTTTGTGAAAATGAGGTGTCATCTTTGAAAAGATATTTTAATGGGTTGATTACTAGCGAAATATCTCTGAGTCAGATTGACTTTATTATAATTGCATATAATTTTCTTTGAGATAATGAATGGATCTAAAAAATATAATCGTCTGAAATTGTTCGCGATTACCTATCTGAACCTTCAACCCATCATAAAGTTACTATTTTTATTTCACCACCATAAGTGGTGACATGTTGTTATGGTCTCCAACTTTTCTGTGGATGGTGTACAGTGGTGGGCAATGCCTTGTTTACTTAGTGTGATAAATCATAAAAATGTTACATATTATAATACATGTTCATTGATGTTGCAGGTTGAAAAGTTCCATCGAGACGTGGAAGGTAGCAGACAATCCCAAAGTCCAACAACATCTTAGGTATCCAGAAAGTCCAGTTTATTCTCAAGGAAGATATCATCACCAGTGATGGCTCTCATAATGTCCAACTTAGATCACTGCTCCTCGTGGGTAGAGGTGTGGAATAGAATATGTGAGAATAGTTCCTGTTTCGAAGAATGATGTCATTTCACTGAGTTTAATCAAAATTTTCCTTATTTACATGTCATAAGTATATGCATTTGTGTACAATTGAAATATGCCACCCTACTGCTACTGATCATATTAAGTGGTGTATTTGCCCAGGTTTATCCATTCGGGAAAATTATGGAATAGATAGATCGAGGATGTAAAAGTGGATTTTGAATGCAAGAAAATGATTTTTATCTTCCATCAGTTTTAGTTGATTTGAAACATGTTTTAATCATTGAAATGACCATGAAGTGATGAGATAGCATTTTGTAATCTTATTCATGTGTACATCAGAATTTAATGTTTAGAATATCAAGAGAAGTGTGCAAACTGCAACCAGGCTCCAAGTAACCCCGTCTCTCATTGGTTACAATACGATTTTATGTAGCCAATCAATTGTAATAATAATAGAAGTTGGTTGCATTGACCTCAGGAGTATGGTTGCAGTTAACACGGACCCAATGTCAAGTGATGAAATCTATGATTCTTACAAAACCCATTTAAAAGATATAAAGGACCAAAAGTCATTTTTTATTAAAAAGTATCATACATTTTTGGCAACTGGAAACAGGCACGTACAATTTTAGTTTATGAAGGAATATGTTGATTTAAGTGTATTTTGTAAAAGAAAGTGGACAAATGGGGCCTTGAAATGATAGCACCATCTGAAGAGTAAGAGAAAAGGCATAATTGTAGGTTTGAAAAGTATTTGTTAGTACAGAACATTCTGCAAAATTATGATACGCATTTGATATACAAAAATATTCAAAATTCATCAAACTTTTAAACAATTCCTTAGATTTTGTTTTCTATCAAAACAATTTGAAAATGAATTTTTGATGACTTATAGAACTTTGTATATTTATACCTTTTGTGATTAATCCCTTTACCACAAAAAGAGTTTTTAAGGAAAGGGTCTGGGTTTTATTGTCATGTCAATCATCAGTAAACGCATAGTAATTTTATCATAGTGATGGGATGATTTTATCATCTCAATGGAATGATTCATTTGGATGAGATGATTATATCATTTCAATGAGACTCTATTGACATTTTGATGTGATGATTTTATCATTTCATTTGGATGAATTTGTCATTTCAGTGGGATGAATTTGTCATTTCAATGGGATGATTTTATCATTTCGATGGGATGATTCCATAAATTCATTGGGATGATTTTTATCATTTCATTTGAATGAATTTGTCATTTGGATGAGATGAATTTGTCATTTCGTTTGGATGATATTGTCATTTCGTTAGGATGATATTGTCATTTCATTGGGATGATATTGTCATTTCATTAGGATGATATTGTCATTTCATTGGGATGATATTGTCATTCCATTGGGATGATATTGTCATTTCATTGGGATGATATTGTCATTTCAATTCAATAATTATTATTTTGATGGACACAGTGTCAACACAATACAACAAAGATATGTCAATCCATTTTATATTATTTCAATCCTTCATCAAATCGTGTGTGATATTATCTAGATTGTTTAAAAATGAACTGAAGTTAGTTTTTCTAGCAAAATCAACCAAAATTGTACCAAGGCACAAAATATGTGTGTACCTCAATTTCATGTGTGTAAGCTTGCATTGACAAATGCAAATATGATATATCCAGAATTGGTATGGTGTTGAAACTATTGCAAATCTCATTAAAACTCTTCATGGAGTCCTCTTTAACTTACTCTTGCAAATAAACTGCTACAGACCTTAAATTATAATTTTGCAAGGGTAGGTCATTATTGAATGTAAAGAATATTATATGATTTGAAATGTCTATGAGTAAGCGGTTCTCAACAGGGGCTACCCCTCCCAGAATATTTATACATTTTCTGTTTTATCCCCACTGTGGAAAACAGACCTTTGAAAATGATGGCATATAGACCTTATTAATGAAATTATGTAAAGAAACTTAACTGAAAGCTATAAAAATATAACTTTTCAATTTTTTGAATATGAATACCACTTTGAAATCTTTTTGAATTCAGGAATATCAACTGTCTGACTTTCTCCAATCCAATTTTGATAACTTCAAGTTATTAATTTCAGTATGTAATCGGGTCTGAACAGGGGTCACCCCTCCCAGATTATTTTCTTGATCTGTATGCCATATCCTCCATGGTTATCCAAATGCGCATTGCTCTGCACAAGCAAATGGTTGCGCACACTCGCCCTCTGTTTGAGAAGGAGCAGCTTCATAGACATTGCTTCTCATAGAGACTTAGTTCTATGGTATTCATCAATAAAGTCAATTGAGAACCTGTATTTATCGAGTTCTGTGAATTTATGAGTACTAGTAACATCTGAAAATGTATGTTCTGAAAAAAGCTCAAATGCAAATGTTTAAAAATCCATCTTAAATTTAAGATATATTTATAATTTACATCTGGAGATCTTTTCAACATTTTGTAATATTGTCATTGAATAATTATAGGATATCCTATGATTTTGAGGAATATCATTTTTATCTACGAGGTAATATTGATATCTGCACGAGAGAGCGAAGCGAACGAGTGCATATATCAATATCACCGAGTAGATTAAAATGATATTCTGAAAAAAATCATAGGATGTTCTTATTATCCTACACTTACAAGGAGTGTACTGAATGTATAATATCATTGTAAAATGAATTTCATGCCAAATAAAGTCCATTTGGCGGGAAATCAACAAGCGGAGTATCGTCACAATATCGTCTGCATATTGGGTTTTCCGGAGTATATAGTCACGATATCCTCCACCCGGAGTATATCGTTACGATATCCTCCGCCCAGAGTATATCGTTACGATATCCTCCGGATATTCATTTTGCCAATAAATATCAAATTTATTTTTTCATGTTATACATTTGGTACACTAAGTGTAGGATAAGACATTACCCTATACAAATCCAAGAAAAGTTCATTCATCATTGATAAAAAAAGTAAAGACTTTTATGTCAAAATGTTCGCGAGAACAGACCTTTCCAATTTCCAAATTCAACTTTTGCTATACCACCGAAATCATAGGCCAATGGTGCCACTGGTTAGCAGAGGTAGCAATGTTTACAAACTATACTTAGCTGGTTAACTTGATAGTTTTGAATTTTTTTTCATGATATCGTTTGTAAACCCTGCTACATACAACAGAGGACATCAGCAAGTATTCTGGTTTCATTGGTGGATCGAAGGTGGCATGATCATTGGAAAGGATTTCAAATGTTTCCCACAAATGTACTTTTTGCCATTTGTCTTCTGTAGCTAGGTTAGTAACTGAGTTGCAGACAGAGAAAGGTTGAATGTAAAAGATTCATTTTTGGTACCAAATAATGGTAAATATCCCTGATTCTAATGTGTAGTGTGTTTCTAGTAACTGGAAATAATACCCTTCACCCAATAATATGTTGCTTAAAATGCTTGATTTTGAACCAGGATCTCAAGCTATTGTCTGAAACATCTTAAGACAGACAAACAATAGCGTGTATATTAGCTGTCATTTACAGACAGTGTAATAATGAAATTGAAATATCCAGAGGAAGACCTTTTTGTCTCAAAGTTTGCTAGTTTATTTCGAAAACTCACATTTACTAGTAGTATTTCAATAATTTTTAATGCTCAAGTTTTCCAGAGAAAATTTCCATTGTCTAATTAGTAATTAACCTATGTAATCCACGTACTTTGATTTTTTATCTGGATTTTTAATATCATCTTGATTTGTTAGAAATTATTAGATCATATGCTCATCCCTTTTCTGTAATTGATAAAGAGTAATTAAGGCTGTTCTGAACAGAACCTCTTGATTGCCCATTGACGCTCTTGAGGTCTGCATTTCCCCTTCAGACATTTAGCGCTCATTGGAATATGGAAAACTTGGAAAGTTTGAGATTGTATTATTACAATCCCTGGAACTCAAACTTAAACACACGACGGGACTCTGAATAAAAATGGAACGGAGAGATGAATATGATGTGAATCCGCTTTACGGGAATGATTTTGATAATGCATCATTAGAGGCTCAATGCGCAGACTACGCTTACCGGAACGTTAAATACAATTCTGATGGCACCCACGATCAACAATCTACCCGATATCACGACTCGGACGCCGGCCAAGTTTGGGATGAAGACGGAGTGGAAACTGAGCAATTTTTGGAACAGAGACAACATTTGGGGATCACTCGTACCAATGATCAGTACCTTGACCCACAAGATGATCAGTATCAAGACAATCACACGTACGAATCGGATATCTTTCACCGATCGCGTAATCCCCCTTATAGGGTACAACGTTACGCCGCCAACGTACGTGAACGTAAACGAATGATGAGTATCAATGGTGCATTCGAGGAGTTGCGTTACTACGTTCCGACATTTCCGTATGAGAAGAGACTATCCAAGATCGACACTTTAAGGTTGGCGATAAGCTATATAACGCTACTCCAGGAGATGCTGATGACTGAGAAAAGTCCAGTAGAATATGTTGAAGAGAGCCTCAAAGCCAGCTCCCAGAACAGAGATACTTTCATCTGGAACACCAGTGGTAGGTGCTAAATTTTAAAAGAGGCAATGGCGAATAGCTAGTTACAAATTAATTTAGCGTATTGTAAATTATAACGGACGAAAAGAAATCACACTATTTGCAAGTCCATCTACATAAAACTACCGTTGTTTGCCAGCTTGCGCCATCAGTAAACTAGTAAATTAAAATCTTCTTACAAGCACGTCTGAAAAAGTCCTAGCTTGAAAAAATCATCGTCCAGTATTAGCAGTACTTTTTAATTAAATTTAAAGGGTAATTATTTTCCCTTCTACCTGACCATTTTTGCAAGCTTCGATAATAAAAGAAGATTTCTGTTAGCTTATATTCGCGAATGCAACTAACGGCTATCGGATTATTTTACTATTTACTTCTATTTTATGGCCAACTCATTTAAATATGAATGGAATAGTGGCATATACTATTCAAATTTAAATGAAAATAAAATGGTAGGTTAATCCGGTAGCCGACAACCGAAAGTTGCATTCACGAATACAAGCTTCTATGTCCATCATTGTGAATCGAAAGTACTTTGTATTTAACAAGTATATTCGACTGGAGATCTTATTTTCTAACATGCTAAATAGTAATTTAAATTAGTTATACCTCAAAACCAAAGCTTATTAACAAGAGTGAGATTTTCACAATTGTTCATTTTTAACATCCCGCGGATCTTTTGGGAGATGTTATATTTGTAATGGCAAAGAATACATTTGCAGGTAAATTGTACATGTTGCTAGCAATTTTGACCCTACAGCTCTGACTCTGCCTAACCCTTCGACTAAACTGAAATAGCCAAATGAACTAAATTGTTTTCATTTCCAGGACTACCATAATCTCTAGTTAAATCAAGTCCCTGAAAGATCCCGATACATATTTAGAGTGGCTTAAAAAGTACCAGGCATGTTTTGTTTCAGATCTAACAGCAAGACTAACGTGGATCAAATGGGAGCAGTTGGGTGTATCTGAGAGACCGTACATTCAAATAAATGGACTAACAACTGATTAGAGCAAAAATGTATTTCGACTAACACTACTAACCTAGACTCAAAATGGTGCAGCATTATTTATTAGTTTTTTAATTAGTTATAAATAGCTATAGTACGTTTGTACATTTGATGCAGATGAAAACTTAAGTGAGAGAAAGCTAAAATTGCCGGTTCAGATTTTAGGAGAATCTCTATCGCATCCAGATGACGTGAACCACGGTCTTACTGTAATTGTATGTGATTTGAAGGAGAAATTAAGTTGAATAACTTCACATGTATAAACAGATAAAGTGTATTTGTGTGTTTGTCTTTACATTTTGTGCGACTAATTTTTCAATTGTTCAATTAATGGCCGAGTTGAATGTATATTGTATAAAATGATTGGAACCTATTCAATTGTATTTTAAGTTTTGCGTATTTACATGTATATCCGGATTTATATAAAAATGTATATTTATTGGTTTTACACAACAAACGTTTTTATTTGTTTATCCGTTTGTCTGTCTGTTTGTCTGATTTTCTCAATACAATATATTTTTCCTCTTTGAAAATCAAGGCAAGATTTTGTTCACCCTGAAATATTCGGTTTGAAAAAATCTTCATAATCGCTTTGTAATTTGCAATAACATTTAGCCTAGAGCGACAATTAATAGGTATTTACATCTTAACTAGGCTGTCTAATTGAACATCACTCCAAACAAGCCGCTTCAATAGCTATGTTGTCAACTTCATATTCCGAGCCCTGTGGATAGGCTTTTGCTTGAATGTGAAGTAGCAGCGTTCCAATTAACGCGACCTTATTTCAATAAGGTTCAAAATGTCGAGTATGGATAAGGGGTGTATCTATTAACTTGCAATTAATAGAAACACCAAGATCATTTGAGTTAACGGATGCAGTCAAAATTATGTCTTGAAGCGAGGCGACATTTGTATGTGTTCGTTGTGTGTCGTTTTCAAATATTTGATTCCTTTTAGAGTACAGCCTGAACAAAAATCAAAAAGTTAGTTAAAGTACCACTGTGGGTAGTTAGTTTATATGTAACATTGTTTTTGTATCACGACACCAACCATACATTGGGTGTGGTAATTGCCTTCATTTTTGACGGGTGACCACAAAGATATCTTTTATTTATCATATTCATTTGTTTACATTAACTGTATAGCATGTCCCTACCCCCTTTTAATATGATTTCGCTTCCTCGATAGAAAGCTTCTAATTAGTTTGTCAGTACTAGCCCCAGGGTACAGTTATTCCGCAATGGTAATGCTCTCGAAAGAAAAAATTCAAAACTTCTTCTATTTTTTTAAAAAAAGGGTTGAGGTTTTATTTTAATATTAATGGTTGGATTCACCATGCCCCCCCTCCTCCTCTTTTTCGATTTGGGTTTGCATTTAAGCTTTAAGCACAACCCAATGCTTTGTATCAATTCACAGCTCGTCGCCAAAGTATGGTTACTCTGTAGAATTCTAGTTGATTGTAAACATTATCTTTTTAATACATCTGACTTATCCTCCTTGACTTATACTGGACATGCATATACACGTGTTCAAACACACCGAAGATGTTTGTACATGGGGCACGAGATTTATACGTTAAAGGAGCTGTGTATACACTACAAAATACCAATGGCATTTCTATACCTATAGTTAACACTTGAAACCAGATCAGCAACTCCGTACTCTTGGGAACTTTTATACATTTAATATATAATTCCTGGGCCTCGGGACTTTTTATACCGTAAATATCGGAAGCTAGATATCGTGTAATGTTTATCGCCATTACATACTTACACATTATATATAGTAATAATAAGTAAGTAATATAAGTATTAATATTGCAAGTCACGTGGTGCTCAAAGTCCAAATAATTTACGAAAGTGACTACACTAGGGATAAGAGACAACAATGAGTCGGGGATCATTACGTTTACCTTTCATATTAGTTGGGCTGAGCCTCTTTGCTCTGGCACACGCTCATATACGATGGGTATGCCCTCGTCCTGAGGATCCGAACACGGGACTAAAATCTGTAAGTATAAATATACGTAAAGGCTAGAGTACCGACAATTGTCGGTACTCTAGACTCTGATGTGGTGGCACGCTAGAGGACCGACAAATAAATTGTCGGTACGGGAGATATGCTGTGTTTACACGCTAGAGGACCGACAAATATTGATTTTCGAATTTTCTGGCGCATGCGCAATGCGCGGGGGGATATTTCAGATATCATACGGATATTTCGGGAACAAGTGCAAAACCCGGGGATTACCAAACCCAGTCAAAAAATGGTAGCCCGGGAACGGGGGATGGTAGTAAACGTTGAAAACCCAATAAAAAACATGAACAAGTAAGACATTAGAGAGCTATTAATGCAGAGTAAACGGCTATATATATTCTAAACAGACAGGATATTTCTCCTGAGCCGATCAGGCGTAGAAAGGGGCGTTTGCTACCCATTAGATAGAAGAAAATAGCAAGAATGTTTTTTATTTGAAGCTTATGGTATGAGGGGGTAGGTACGAAAAATTTCGAACGGAATGCGTGACATATACGTAATTCGCGTGAAAAGTCCGAACGAAATGCGTACATTTTTTTTCGGCGTTCGTATTTTTGCTGTGTAGACGATCTTTTTTAGAAATTTTTCTACAGAAATATTTTTGCTTGACAATTACCAGGTAAAATGCGTATTTGCGTGACATTTTCTGTCACGCAAAAATAACTGGCGTGACTTCAAATTCTTCAGCAAATGCGTGACAAATACGCAAATTGCGGGACAGTTGACAGGCCTGTATTTGGTATCACAATAAAGAGGAGTTCAACTTTCATTTGAATTACGAAAATAGCGATGTAGGTGAAAATAGTTCCGAACGTGAGCATGTTTACTACGCGTTTGCCCGTCATATCAGAATTAAGGAAGTGGTAGCAAACGCAAGTTACAATAAACGGACGCTGATATCTCAAAAAGTAACCTGACTCCCTATAATTTGATGTAGGTCAATCGAACCCCTATATGGACAGGTGCATTTTGATATATAACACTATGGGGGGTAAGCGTTTCATAGTTGGTCACGAACGCCATATGTGCAAAGTATTGTTATGAATTTTCGAATTTGGTGTTGGATTACGGTACTCATACCTTATAGCACAATTTTTGATGGAAGTTGCATTTGGCTCCCTTAGTTAATGGCCACGATTCCATCTCGCATGAGAGAGCTACCAAACGCAAAGTAAACAGTGATATATTCTAAATTAGATATTTCTCCTGTGCCATGGCGTAGTAAGGGTAGAGAGCGACGGGGGCGAAAGCATCCCCTCCCCTAACTGTATATATCGACCATTAGATAGAATCTAAGAAAAGAGCTTTAAAATGTTTTTTAATTGAAGCTTGTAGGACAATTTTGATTGAAGTTGAATCAATTTTTGTCGATAATAATAAATTATGGCTCACTACAAGTTAATGCCTGTACGATTCCATACTGCAAAAGAAGCACTATGCTCCCCCCCTCAAAAGAAAAAAGTAGGTCCCGCCGGGATTCGAACTCGGGTTTGAGTGTATACGAGTCCTGCTCCCTAACCACTAGGCTACCAGTGATGAGGTTATTTCAAACGTAAAAGTAGTGGATTTATTTATGAAATTGTCGGCTCTCTAGCAAAAACACGTAGCAGCCACTTGCGTACCGACAATTGTCGGTTCTCTATCTGGCACTACTAGGTGACGATAGAGTGCCGACAATTGTCGGTACCCCAGCAAATACCCCTGGCCAGTCTCCAGTACCGACAATTGTCGGTCCTGGAGCCACTCCGATAAATATAAGCTAATCTTATGATTTATATTATTCATCACATTGTGGTTTCAATTTAAGGTAATATGTTTACAAGGGAGAATGGGCCCGGGAGAATGGGGTAGGGGTAAGAGAGGGTCAAAACACATTTCCAAGGACAAACCACCTGGTATTATTAATATCTATTTTGGTAATACCTCGTCCATAAATTACCATGTATTACATAGGAAATATTGGTCTTAGGAGTACAGGTATGTGGACTGGTATCGGTCAAATTATTGATAACACCTTATTTGTAAGTATGACCTGTCCTCGTCGTGTTTACATAATATGATTATATTAGTGCATTATAACACTGGTTCCAAAGTCACGAGATGCCAAGCCAGTCACTCAACTTGGTTTCATCTCTATAATGCATTTTATACTGAATAAATCATTAATACATCAATCGTACTAAGTACATAGTTGAGACATCTTCGTAAACATTAAGAAAAAATATGAGTTATGAAACCCCAATTTCAGTAGATAGATGCGTGCAAACCATCGACTATTCTGTTATTTAACTAGGCTACATTTAGTTTGTATGTGTCAGATTTTAATTTCGAATGATGATATCACTTTTCTATTAATACATAATTATCCGTCTATAGATAGTTTACATAAATGGTCCATTCGCAAAATGATTCCATATCTTATTCATAACGTTTTATTGAATGGATATTTTTAAAGAGGGTGCCTCAATAGAAAGACTCTATAGACGTGTGTAACCTTGTTGTATTGTGAATTATTGACACAGGGTTAGAATGCATGTTATAGTCAAATGATATCCATCCTCCGATCACAGGGGTTCAAAATCCAGAACATATTCTTTCTTTTTACCCCCTGCGATAAGCAGTAAGCATTTCCCCGATTAAGAACTCGCAATCTGCGACAGAAATCATGTATCAGTCATTGCGCATTATTGGATCACGTGATTCAGTTAATCGAGCGCGTCCAAATTGGTTATAGCAGGGGGAAGAAGGAGGTACTGATTCTGGACACCTGCTTAGGAGGATGAATGATATCTTGATTTTAGTTTTTTTTATCAAAAATAATGGCTTTGATAAAGCCATGAAATTGTTTTTGCTCTTTAGGTCTGCACTTTGGATTTCATTTGCAATTTTGAAAAGTAAACCACTGAATATTCTAATTATTCAAACATTCTAAAGAATTGTAAAACCCTCAATTAATAGTCGGTACATTAATACATCTTTTGTGCAAGAATGAAAGATGTAGATGATGTGTGGAATGAGTTATGTTTATCTGAAAATAGCACATGGTCATGAAATTTCATCAAAGTGCACCTGACCTTAACTGTGCTAGCTCAAACGATGAATTTACACGCTGTAATGATTAAACTGTTTTGATCCATTTTAAGTACTTATAGTATTTCATCACTACCCTTTGCATTCGCTCGACTTCACTTCCTAAAAGAGAGCTTCGTAGTTTATAACGCGCAGGGTATTTCTTCACCTGTATATTTGCTCATTCTAGGGTCCTTGTAGCCCCGACCATGCAAGCAAATTTGACAGAGAGTATATGGACATCACGCCAGGTCCAATGACAGTTAGGTTTGAAGAATCTATTGTGCATGCAGGTATGTAAACATGGTTAGTATAATAAACATTCTTTTTCACATAATTGTACGCTTGATTAAACATGTCTTTCACATTTTATAGCAATTTGGAATCCCTTCAATTTTTATCATTTTCAATGATTTTGAAGTCATATAGCAAAATTCTACATCGTTAAAGGCCCCGTGCTAATTGAAAATATGTTTTTATCATTCATGTTCTATTGTTCATGACTTTAAAAGTTGTTTTAGAGTTGCTTGAAAAACATTGGGAAAGATAAATTGTCGCCATTTTATTCCTAAAATATTCAAACTTCCCACCATTTTTCAAATATAAGTGATGTTATTTAGCTTTTTTGAAATGAGTTCAATTCTCGCTTATTCATCAACCAATTTCTCTTTTTCGACAAAATATGTGAGGAAAAATGCTGTGCATTTGGGCTCTAAATTTAGTTTTGAATGAATTCACGATTTTTTGCCCAAAATGTCCTCCAAAGACCACTCTGAAAGTTTCAAATATCATATTTTAATAACATTGGGTAAGACTACAATATAAGCCAAAGTGGTTCAAACTTTATTTGAGACCTTTAAATTATCTTTTATTTTCTGATTTATTGCTCTGTGCGTTAAAATTCGGTCAGTTTAAAGATGTCATTGATATTTTGACATTTTGTATTCTAGGTGCACCTACTATCATCTGGCTACATAATTTAGACAAAAATGAATCATGTTTGCTCTTGGACCACATCCCACATAATGATGCGGGAGAAATGGATCTCCAATCATGTCCTGTGAGTGATTTTATTCATTATGATTTTCCAAATTAGTCTGGCAGCTCAACCCGTGAGCAGTGATTTGACATGTCTATTTACAATGAGGGCTAGAAAGACAACTTAGGAAAACATAAAGTGATCAAGCTCCACCTGTAGAAAACACTCATAAAGTTTATTATCGTATGATCTGTAAAATGAAGCCTTCTGATTGGTCAGTTCTTGTGCGGTATCAATCTGTTTCGCTACTGAGATTGTCCCCATTGATCATCTCTGTCACGATACAGAAAATATTGGTACGGAGGGCACATTCTCAGTAGCAATACAGAGGATCACACGATAAAAACGTTATAGAATGATTTGAAGTGCAATACAGGCTATATTCTACTCTGAATATTCTGTATTGGCACTCGACTTCGTCTCGTTCCAATAAGGAATTTCTCGAGCAGAATATATCCTGTATTGCACTTCAAATCATTCAATAACTTATAGTATTTATTGCATTTTTTGACAACACTTATCAATCCAGATCTTGTAATATTTTTTGTAGATATTTGATTATCCAATCGGAAGATGTCCTTCCCAAAACTATGTGACTGTGAAAATCCCAGATATTGAGTGTGAAAGGTGTTACATACAGGCCATATCTGTTATGCTGGACAAATACCCTGAAGGTAAAATTATATAGTATCAACAAAACGTACAACCTGTTGCTAAAAGTAAGACCAAAACACACATTGGGCGAGTAATTTATTACTCATCTTGACTATTTCCAAGTTGACTTTCTGTTGAACTGATCAGAATCAATGTTTGCGATTATTTTCATACAAAGACCCTCGTTTGATAAAGCAAATTACTTCAGACAATGGTATCTTCGATTGTAGAATTTCACGACCAAAAGAAAGTTGATGGGCTGATTTTCCCACCATTAGAAAGCAATCTGATTGATCATTGTTAATAGTTTTCTTGGGATATTAGATGTACCTTCAACGCAATAAAATATTCACAGTTCAGAATATAACTGTCTGAGATCAATTACCTTATCATACAGAGCTCATTAATTTGCTGTAGTATATTGTGTCTTTTTATTGAAGTGAGGAAAATATCAAAAATCAAGATTCAAACAGGCTTCAAACGCTGTCCATCCCCAGACGCAGGGCTCTAGACATTCTTTATTCTGTCACTCTGTGGGCGGATGATTATGCCTTAAGCTATGCGTTTCGATCATGGCCGCTATCCAATCGTAACTTTTGATTTTAAAATTTGTGTTTAAGGTGAAGTATGTAAGCAGATTGACAGTGGCAATAACAACTGCAGTACATACTATACTTGTGCCAATGTTAAAATCAGGTATGTATGAAATGAATAAACAAAATAGTACCACTTAAAAGCAAGACAAAAAGTAAGCACAGAATGACTCGAGTACCTTTAATAAATCGTTGCAATACTTTTTATTTATCTTGAAGCACACGAAAATGACTTTGCATTTTTATTTGCTAACGTATAGATATCAATCCTTCAGAAATTTAACTAAGAATATTTAAGTATTTGTGTATAACTGTAACCAATGTATCTATCCTTAGGCCAACGTCACGAGGTGTGGGTAAAAGTACAGACACCTGCACTAACTACAATAACAATCTATTGGGCACCTGGCCCTATATGTACCCCAATGGAATCTACTTTGATCTGGGCATGGATTTCTCAAAGCAAGGCTGGCTGCAAGGTTCAACATTCATTGGAGCTAATGCCCCATACTGGAGAGGTGTTGACGCAACTGGACCTTGTGCGCCAGAAACCAGGACATTTGGGGTAAGTGAAACCAGTTAATTCTATAGTTGCCATATTTCTTTAAGCTATAGACAATCCCATGTTCTATTAAAAATGTATAAATTTTTCTTATTATTATTCATGTGCACAATTTTGCATCGATCAAAGATTGGGACGATATGATACATCCTTGGTCCAAGGGTACTTCACTTCTTTCTGAATTGAGTAATAAATGAGGTCCTGAATGAAGGATGGATATGATATTGTGTATGCACAGTGTCCGGATTGTAGAGTGTTTACAATCTGATACATAACATTGTTTTAATATTTCTTAAAAACATAGGCCTACAACATTTAATGATTTTATTATTTAGGGTACATTAAAGAATGGAATGGATTCTAAAGGGACAGTGTCTTTTAGTGTGACAGAAGACAGAATGAGATTATCAGGCTCTATGGGAGGATTGGGAGGAACTGTTTCAAAGATTGCAATGTCATCATCTGCACAAGATGGTAAATGAAACGTTTGGACCTAAAGTACAAGGATCATGAGACAAAATTTGCGAAGAAAAACAAATCTCAGAGTTCTGAATCAATCGACAAACTGTAAAAAAGACTTGACAATAATCCTCTTAGTATGAAAGTGATGCATTTTGTAGCTTTGTGTACTATACATTTTTTATTTGAGTAAATGTTAGGTATATGTATGTAAAATATATATACATGTATATATTCTTAATGATCACTGTATGTTTTATTTAAAATTCAGGTGCTCCTGAGTTTACTGTCCCACTAGCCATTGTGAAGACCAACAAAATGGAAGCTATACTAAATATGTCATCGCAAGTAAAATATATTGAGGAAAGTGCAGGTATACATCATTGAAAAAATATCTTGATTAATTCGATACTCGTGTGACCATTGTTTGAATGATAGAGTTAAATAGATCCATATAACATATAAACGATTAAATACGAATATCATATTAAAGCTTGTTTATAATTTATCTCATCTTTTTCATAGATAAGTTCCTGAATAAGTTGACTATTAGTCAGTCTAATGGAGAGACAACCATGGATATTGAAGAAGTGATGTCGGTAAGTTGCTTTCATATAGAATCATTGTCTATAAATCCATATTGGAATAGGACCATTTGTTTGTTTTAGAAAAAAATAAAATACTAGAGTGGATTAATTATCCCCCAAGTCTGAAAATATTCCACCTAATATGTATATGTATAGGTTTGTCTAGACTGTTTAGTTCTCTTTTCACAGAAATGAATGAAATTAATATTGAAGTAAATATTGGTATTTTTCATATATTTTCTTTTATACCTGTAAAATTGTTAAATTTATTAAGATGGCTTTTTGCGGAGAAGGCAATTCATTTACAACACGTGATATTGATTTTCGTATATTAATTTTGTATTTCCTTTTTTGTTATTGTAATTAATTTTTTTATATTTTATTAAATTGTAAGACTGACCACTATAAATAAATAAACTAAACTAAAAGAATAATAATATGTCTTAATTTTGTGATATGATTTACATTATCAGGCTTCGATACATGATGTCATTTCCTGGGAGTACTATGGGCAGGCAGTTTTTAAGCTTCTCAGAGATAATTCACTGCACATATCTGTTACTGTAAGTAAAACGTTTCACATCTATGTATGTGTATATTTTATTTCTTTGTTGTACTGCATTTATCAAAATAAAATTTGTGTTTGATAAATAGTTCAGTTTTTATGCAATATTACGTTACCAGCCACATACAATTAGTGTTTATTTCATTTTCAAGGTAAGCAATGTTGCATCTTTTACCGGGGCCAGTCTGAATGGACCAGCTAGGCCTGGTCTAGAAGGCCCTGTGCTGTTGGACCTAACTAGTAGCATGAAATCAATTGGAGATGGAGTTATGCATGGCGAATATACCCTAAATGTGAGTACATACGGGTATAAACAATTATTGACACTTCAGTGACGTCACTAGTGAATTATAGTGCATTTGTGTGTGTAAAGCTATAGTGTATGTGTGTATGTAGAGCTATAGTGTACTGGTGATGATATGGTGTATATTTCAAACACTACCAATGCAATTACAATCAAAAGAGGCAAACTCATCATTCCATATACTGGCAACATATACACAATACAAATTCTCCAGATTTCTAAGAGCTTGGTGATTTTTTTATTTTATATAATAGACGGAGTCAATTATACAATGATAATATTTACAAAATGCAACAACCCCCCCCCCCCATATAAGTGTAATCCATCCATATGATCGTCCATTCTTAGCTACACCGTCATCCTCTGGTTGCCGATGTGATGATGCACCTCTGGAATGAACTCATATACATTAAAGTCAGCACTACTGATGCAAATAAAGACATACGAGGACAGGTTTGTAGTATGTTTTCACTTGAGTCTTAATTCGACAAAGTTTAAACAAATTGACAGTTTTTATACCTCTAAGATTGATTCATGATTTCCTTTTCCTGACAACAGAGGCAGCAAAGACTTCAAATAATAGAGGTCTCTGCTCAGAAATGATCACTTTTGACTATTTTTTTTATTTTGGCACTAATTTTGAGAAATGGGCAATCCGTTTTTCGGTTCTGATGAGTTGGGACATTTGTGAACCTTTTACTAGGTAGGATAATACTTGCATAATTACTTTTTGTTTTTGCCCAAATATGTATACATGTGTTAATGTAAGACGATTCGGTCTTTAATCATTGACACACCAGCTTATCCTTATAGCTATTGTGTTTCTAGGTATCAAGGCCTGGAACTTGGCATTGCCCATCCCCAACGGTAGAAAATCCCAATGTGAAAGAAGTGCCAAACACATGTAAGTGTACAAGATAATTGTGTATATATTACCCTCTTTTCTATGCGTCACTTAAAACTTGCAAAATCAATACACAAAATATACAAAAAAATGTTCATACAAAATTTGAAAAAAGCACAAAGTGAGGGAATAAATCGATTTTTAAAAAAGTAATAAGGTGTGGTTCTCCTCTCATAGTTCGGACTTACTTAGTGACTTACTGCTTACTTAGACAACGACATTTTTCCAAAACTTTTTCATAAAAGAAGGTTTGTGTCATTCTTGTTAGTGTTAGAGACAGCCATTTTTACTACAAATCATACAGCAAATCATATCTTATTCTTATGTTTAGGTTATTGGTTCACTGTGACATCCGATGGAGGACGAATAAACATAGAAAGCGAAGTTGTCGACACAAATGGCTATGCTTCTATGTATGTGGACCCTGTTGTTCCTGGGCGAGTACATTATAGGTAGGTTTACACACTACATGTACCAGTACATGATACCATGAGACTGCCTAAAATAAATTGTTGTGTTCTTAGATATTTACTTTCTTGCAGAATATTTCCTCTGGTAAAATTATCTGCTATTCTATAAATGGTGTCTTTTCTAGCATTGTCTTTAGTAAAAATCTTATAATACTATATAGATGGAACCTTTTGGGAATTCAAGTGACTGTATTATTCTTACTAGGTTATTTGATTGTACTGCAAAGTTTCTACTACTGCGTCTTCTCATTTTACTCGTACATAATAGTATTTTCCCTATCATTTCCTTAAGTTATTTTTGTAGGATTTTACTTCAAAATGTTGCTCCTAATGAGACTGTCACTACTGTTGGGATCTACCATTACCAAGTAGAAGAAGTTAAAGTTAATGCAATGTTCAATCGAAATGATCCTGTAGCAAAAGATCATGTATTGTATGCTAAGGTAAGAATACTGACTATTCATGTTATATAATTGATAATTATATACCCGACAATGGCCGGATGGTGAAGACTTTGATTGTTTTGTTAGTCTGCGGAAATATTAGTAACGAATTCTCCCTATATGAAAATACTAAATCCCGGGTACTAGATTTAATGCCATCTTGTTTATTGTTATATATATCTATAATTGTTTGTTTTGCAGGCTTTAATTGTTTCGTTAGTATGATGGAAATATTAAGCAACGTTTTCTCCATGTAAAAATACTAGATTAAATACCATCTTGTTTTATTACACACATCGTCCATATTTGATACTATAGTGTTTCATTTTATTTGAAGGGATATGTGAATGCTACGGCCGAAATAGCGGGCTGGCTGCGAGATGGCGACCTTAAACTAAGTATAATGACATCAAGAAGTACAACTGAGCTTTCAGGGGACATACCTAAAATGGAAAGAAATAAATGCACCAGACCTACGGTATGGTATAATCAATGCAATGGTTTTAATCAGAACATACAGGAACACACAGAAGGAATATGCAAATTATTTGAATGTAGTAATCTCATAGCAACAGTATAATGTTGTTAATATCAATCTTCTGTTATTCTGAATCTGATTTTCATGTCACACCCCCATAAGTGATGACAGATTGTAATCTACAACATTTTTGTGGATGGTATTCGGCGTTCGGTGCCTCTGCAACAGTTACCTAGCAATGCATGAGAGGAGTGGTGGCACTTTGTATGTTATAAATGACTTGTAATGTATTTGACATTTCCTTTGTCTTGACTAACTAGCATTTAATGATTATTATATCACCTCAAAAAGTGGTGACATATACATACTTTTTTGTTACGGCGTTCGGCGGTTGGGGTCCGTCTGTCGGCGTCTTTAACAAATTCTTACAACTTCTTTTTGACTTTATTGACTTCAATCTTTTTCAAAATCATCTACAAGTTCCCAGAATTTCAATTTTTTGAGATTTGACCTCCAAGGACCTTCTTAGGATAAAAAAGGACAAAAAGGTATTTTTTCAACTTGCTTCAAATCGACCATGTTTTCAAAACCATCTTTACAAGAAGTTCAAATCTGACCTTAGATATGAGATTTGATCTTCATTGACCTTATCTCAAGGTCAAAAAGGTAAACAGGTCTTTATCATCTTGCTTCAAATACAAGTTTTTAGAATATTGTGAGCAACTAGGTGGATACATTTGTCATCATGTTAATGCTATGTTCAAAAATGTATTATGTATTACCCTATTTGGTTGAATTGGTTCAAAGTGACATCGTTTTATTGATTTTTATGTTGTGGAATGTTTGCATGTCTTTCGAAATTACGTGATGTATCTGTAAATGTCTTCCAAACTATTGTACCTGTATGTATTGATAATCTCTGTTTCTCTAATGACGTACATTTATATTGTCTGGAAATCGTTGAAGACTTCGCCAATGGAGAACATAAGGGTCTTTCTCCTTTCTTATTGATTGTTTTTTTCTTATGACGACAACATGTTTTTGAAATCACTACAGATTGGACCCCAGGAGAGGTGTAACCTTTTTGTAGTAAATGATTAATTCAAGAACATCAATTTATCAAGAAATCCCCGATATTTCCCATCGTTAGATCATGATGAAAATCAAAAGAAAAGAAAATAGAATAACAATTTTCTTCATTGTGAGGAACATTTAACAGGAATAGGTTTAATATATATTACAGGTACTTGGTACCAACTTCTTACCTGAAAGTGCATCAAAATTGACTGAAAAATTCAAAATAATTTGCACAAAATATAACTTTATCTGTAGATGTGAAAAAAATAACATAGCATAGTAATGAATCAATTGCCATTTAAACATTATTGTTGTTGTTGTTGATTGGTTTCCGGACAACTCGGACCCAGGACAACTCCGAGTTGTCTAGGGTCCGAGTTGTCCAGGGTCCGAGTTGCCCTGGGTCCGAGTTGTCCGGTTACCTGTTGATGCATGTTGCACTTTTAAGACAGAGCACATTTAACAGAGATATGCTGTTCATTGTAGTGTTGTAGAAACTCATCGGATCTCGCAATTCCTACTTAACCGTTTACTTGACAGATAAATGGGATTCCTGTCGTAATATATTTTGAATTTGTTTCTTTATGATTCATTTATTTTGAGCAAAATCAACAAACTGAACTGTTTCTTGATGTATATTGTGAATCATTGATATATTCTTGAATTTGTAATGAAGAAAACTAAATGATTATCCTTAATCTAGTTTAATTACATTTATTTTGCAAAAGGATTTGTATCAATATGGTGAACTGAATACTGATAATACTGATGATAATAATTAATAATAATAGTGATAATAATTGTTTTTTGTTCCTTTCTACCAATTCTTGAGAATGAAATAAAATATCTTTCCGAATTTTGTTGGAACAAAATAGCATATACAACGTTTTCTTAGACCTCTCAATATTATAGTTATACAAAGGAAATTTTGGATTTATATTAAGAAAGAATTCAAAAAAATTAAAAAACCAATATAGAGAAAAATTAAGATAAACCTTTTATTTAAACAGGTGCATATGTTTGACTAATGCATTACCTCCAGGAAATGCACTTCTAGAGATGATAAAATAATTTCAACTTCGAGACAAAAAGTGATTATTACTATCCTGTGAAAAGGCCCTATTAAAAATTATAACGGACTAAAATCTGTAAAATCATTGGTAAATTGACGAATATTTGATTAAAATTCAATACCATAGTTGTTTCTGTTTCATTGACTACAATAGTGAAATTTAATTGTTATTTCCAGCAAGTAAATGTGAATTGGCAATCTGGCAACTCCGATCTCCCTGTGACTGCGCTTCAAGGAGATGAGATGGTGTTCACCTATAGTGGTACAGACACAGTTGAACTGCTCAGCAGCGTTGATGTAGGTATACGTTACGTCTATACCGTACCTAACCTTACTAATCCCCCCCCCCAAAAAAACAGCCACATCATATTTTTAGTTGTGTTTTATATGATGGAGCTGTTAATTGTTTCAAACAGCTCATGTTGTAAAAATGCAATCAGAGAAGCATTGGACAATACAGGTATTTCAAAAACGTGAAACCAAACCTTATAAAATATAAATCTTGACAGCAAGCGGTCATATGCTTTTTGAAATTTCATTGGCTTATTTTGCTTTCTATATCGCTTTGACACACAACGTTGACTGCGTTTTAAAATCATGCCCCTCCCCCTTAGGCAGACATGTACCAGTGTCCCATACTTTCGGGACACCCTGTATGTAACAAAGAAACTTTCTGAGAGTCCTGGTCAGTTTTTACTTAATCACACTAATCTATTTGAATTAATTAATCGTGCATTGATTGAGTTATGAAACAAGATTGTTTGTATTGACTCTTCACCTTCATTGTTAATGAGCTATCGTATTTGTACATTGATTTATAGATCGTGTTCTTGTGAGACAATGTATATGTTTTATTAACTCGTCCTGCTTCAACGACCAATAATGTAGTTTGAATTGAGGACCCTAGATTGATATGTGCTTCACCTTTGTCCTTATGTTAATGAACTATCACACTGGTACATTGGTTTATAGATCGTGTTCTTGTGAGACAATGTATATGTTTTATTTACTCGTCCTGCTTCAACGATCAATAATGTAGTTTGAATTGAGGACCCTAGATTGATATGTGCTCAAGGACCTCTCGACTATCATTATCATTATCTACAATATCTTATTCAATATAAAAAATAGCATGTCCGGGCACATTAAATATCTATATAGTAATATAACATTTCAGCAAGTTGAAAGTGTCATTGCATTTGACTCTCAGAACACCGTTTCACCAGAGCAATATACAAATGTATATACCCTCTGTGTATGACAATGACAAATGTAAAAATGCATTAACTACCCCTCTTTAATAACTTTCACCAACCATTCTTGTATTTATAAACACACCATTTGTGTTGATTTTGCCAAAAGGAGAAATACTTCGACTTGTACACCATTGGTGTTGATTTTGCCAAAAGGAGAAATACTTCGACTTATACACCATCGGTGTTGATTTTGCCAAAAGGAGAAATACTTCGATTTGTACACCATTTGTGTTGATTTTGCCAAAAGGAGAAATACTTCGACTTGTACACCATTGGTGTTGATTTTGCCAAAAAGGAGAAATACTTCGACTTGTACACCATTGGTGTTGATTTTGCCAAAAGGAGAAATACTTCGACCTGTTCAAAATTATGAGTGCTTTGATTAATTTGCTGATTTTCTCGTTGTCCTTAATTTTCAACTTATGTTCTGGTATAATATTTTGACATGTGAAACAACACTTTTGACTTTTCAAAAGTTGTAATGTTTGAAAACTTAGGCATACGTCCCAACCATACAGAAAATTGATAGTTCTACTAACAAAGAATAGTTTCATATTGTAAGACCATATACGATTATATTATAATAAAAGGTATCTACATTTTGACTTTCCATTCTATGATTCCCATATCGTGTTTCTATTCACAAAAAAACATTTACCAGTAAGATTCACATCGTTCTTTCGATGTAACTCTCTTTTTTCTCGTCCCTCTGACTATTATATCAATTGATTAATTTTTTCTCCAGTCGTATAATAACTGCAACTTTGCTGGGGCTACTGTGATAGCAGAGCAGGGACAATCGCCCATCACTTACAAGATGTCTGCCACTGGGACCTTCTATCTGTCCTCAAAGACAGGATGTGCATCTGGGTTGAAGACTGATGTAACTGTTTATGGTATGGAACTTTTTCTGTTTGTTGGTATTTCGAAAATGCATGTACAGCAAATGCTTTTAGGGGGCATCACTCATTTTTACAGCTAAACAGATTATCTTGCATATATATAAGCGGTCCAGGTAAAAATAATGCATTTTCAGTGAGCCAGAGGAATTAAAGAGGCTTCAATGACTTTTCAGTTAGTCAGAGAATTGAAGAAGCTTTTATCTAAATAGTTGATGATATGATGCGCGATGATCTGATCATCCCTATAATGACAACTTTATTACGCATCAAAACGTACGCGAATTGGTACATTACTAGGGTTGCCGATGGTTCAGTCATAGGCATACGTCGAATTATATTTTAGATAAAATGGTCTGTTTCAAGTTGCATTCCACGACTATTTTAATCAGAAATTCATTGAGATATTGAAAAAAATGAAAATTTTTGAAATAAATGAAAATCTTTGAAAAATTGAAAACTTTTGAAAAAATGAAAAGAATTGATTGAAAAAAGAAAGAATTGATTTTTCGAAAATTGGAAAAAATTGGAAAAACTGATTTTTTGAAAAAATGAACTTTTTTAAAAAAATAGGGACAATATGATTTTTGACTATATATGATTTTTTTTCCAGGGACAATATGATTTTTCGAGTATATATGATTTTAAGAGGGATACTATGATTTTATTTCCCAGGGAAAACATTAGTATTATGGAATAAATAAGTATACTAGTTTACTAGATGGCTGGATTCTTTGCTCTGTCAACAGTGATATATGTCCTTTGTTGGGTTTCGTTAAAGTTTTTAGTCACCCTTCCCTATTTTGGCATTTGTGCTTATATATCCCTATGTCAGCTTGCTGCTTTTACAATTTTTTTTACCATTTCAGATCCAATACCAAGTGGTGATCTGTTATCAGAGGGTGAATGTGCACGGAGTGTATATAGCTACCTGAATGACATGAACCCTGTAACGACAAAAATCCCACCACCTATTGGTACAACAACAAATGGAGCAATTCATGTCGCATCAACAATATCAGCAGTGATAATGTCCGTGATTGTAGCATACCATATGTAACCACCACACGAAGAATTTTCTAAAATAGCTTTCACAAAATTATCTTTCATAATAGCTTACTAAGGCTACACGTAGTCAGTTGCTATCCGGTTATGATATTTCTGAGATATTACTATTCCATTTTAATAGAGGTACATGCATTTTTATACAGTATTTCATATACAACAATGCAAGCACGCACAATTTTCAATTATTTTATACATTGTACTTTTATACATACACTTCAGCGCAAACTTCAAAAGCATATATAAGTATTGATATTTGATCATTTTATAATGATCATGATTACCGTAATTACCAAAGGGAATTGGTATTGATTATGACTTATCTTTACTTTAAACATTAAGATGAATAAAACGTTAAACATGAAATATTATTCAATGTTAATTGTCTTTAGTTTACCTTTCTTTTCTATCACATTTGTTCTCAACTTAGCAGCTCAATAAGACTTTTCTCTACTAATGGATGCCTCATTTTCTTAAGGAGTTCTCGTGACACTTCCTTACATAGACAATCAAGTTATTTTACGTGACTTTTACACCTTGGCAATTACCAACCAAGTTTGCACAAAATTATTTTGTTGACTCCATCCAATACTAGATATTTGTTATTTTTTAGTTGCATAAAACAATTGACTTGATAGTGGAAATAACACTGCTAATTGAAGTTCATACACGTATCAGTCATCATCTTCACATTCCGTCTCTGAAGAGAAGGCGATCATGCCCAGCGTATCAAAAATATGTAGTTGTCTTTTCAAAACTATACCCACTGTATGCATATCTCCCATAAACCAAATAACAGACGTTACGAGGTCATCTTCACCTTCAATTTATAATTTAAAGTCCCATCGTAGACATAATGGGAGTAGAAAAATTGGACCCCCAGCGATTTTTATAGTCATAGTGCCCACTCTATACTGACATATGTCACCACAACAACTTAATTACATTCAATACTCTATTGTTCGATAAATGTGATCATTTGAGAGTTTATTCATTTTTAGAAAAATTATGAAAAACAATTTAGTTATTTTGTTTATTTATAGTAAATAATGAAAGAGTTGGGTATAGTCAGGCTATATAAATGTTTTCCTTTGTCAGTTGGCATGATATCTATTATTGCATTTAAACTGTTATTATCTCAGGTCTATTTGTCCTTATGTACACAATTAAGAAAGACTTTAGACATTTCATATCACGATATGTATTTTATAATATACCGAGCAAAACAGAGATAGGGCGTTCAAATGACATACCGTGGTTAATAGGAATTCTGAGATATTGAGGCAGTTCAATTACATCTTAGGGCAAGACCAAACGACATCCAGTACTTGGACTAGTAGGCGATTTCTTCTTTTCAAATTCCACTTCAACTCAATTTTAAATGCTTATTTATGATCTTCAATTGATTTATATGATTTCTATCCGCTCTATGGAGAAAATCTCAATATAAAAGTTTTTTCAATCCACAGTCTAAACATGGCTTTTAAAGGTTCAGACATCGACTTTGAATGGATCCAGTTCACGCATATTTCGAAAATAGATTCACCATAGGTTTTAGATCAGGCAATCATGTCTATAGCCAGAAATTTTTTTTTCAACCATTTAATTCTCTTTAAAGCGCAGTTAGATAGTATTTTATCTCGAAATACAGACCTCAGAACAAGTGTTATATCGACGAATACATACCGCAGATATAGGCACAAACATTTTCTTTACCCCGAACGACCAAAAGCTTTTGTGCCTAGCCCTGCGGTATGCATTCGTCGATATTGCACCGGCGCTGAGGTCTTTATTACGATTCGAACTTGCAATCACACACCACTCATATTATCAGGTGCAGTGTTGACGAATACATACCGGGTGAAATATTGACTTTGTTCACAGTTTATAGAAGGCGTGAATACACTTACAGTCATGTTCGAATGTGGTTTATGGATTATGGTGTCAATTAACTGTGCATATGGATGTTCCTGATCTTATCGTACCTGCAAAATATTGTGAACTAATAAGGTAGACGTGGTGCTACAGTATTCTTCTTTTTATTTATTGAATTGGAGAGGGACATATACACTCCCCTCCATAAGTTTGGCAACCTTTTTCCCCCATTGAACTACGTGTTAAAGCCTCTTTACCTTTGAATTTTTATTTACTTAACCTGCGATGGAAATACTTATACTATTGATGGAAACGTAATTTGACTTTAATTCCAATACCTCCAAGTTTTCTCAATTTTTTTCCTCAATTACAATAGGTCGAAAATTGATGATGGATTTGATGAATTTTTGAAAATCGACATTCCCATGTTAACCAATGGGAAATGGTAGGTTTGCCGCAAGTCATATGACAGAATATCCATCCGTCCGAGTCCTTGCAAAAATACGAGTTAGGCAGGTAATTGAATTTGCGAACTTTATTTAACAAAAAATTGATATGTTTCTTCAGGTTCAACAAAGTTATAGGGCTTTAAAGTCAAAATTGTTTTTCAAAAAACCTCTCCCATTGAAATAACACAGGAGGCGAAAAATAATTTTTAAAAATGACTTTGAAGCGCTGTAACTTAAATATTCATCAAATAAACTAAACACTTAGTGTTCAAAAAAGTTAGACAATTCAATTTTCTATATGAAAATATTTTTTGCTGAATCTTTTACTGAAAAGATATCCTGATTTCTGATTTGCCCTGAACCCTCCATTTCCCATTGGATTACATGATAATGACGATTTTCAAAAATTCATCAAATTTATCATCAATTTTCGACCTATTGTAATTGAGGAAAAAAATAAGAAAATTTGGAGGTATTGGAAATAAAGTCAAGTTACGTTTCCATCAATATCATAAGTTATTTCATCGCCGGTTAAGTAAATAAAAATTCAAACGTAAAGAGGCTTTAACACGTAGTTCAATGGAGAAAAAAGGTTGCCAAACTTATGGAGGGGAGTGTAACCCGATCAACACAAAGTCATTCCAATAACAGAATAAACATATTTAAATTTCAATATTTTATTTTTATTTTCATGATTTGACTGTCAAAATGCAGTCAAATGCCGAAGAATGGCACCAATCAAATACATGACATATACATGTAAGGTACAAGAAATGAAGTTTTGAATATTCTTAAATTCATCGAAGTCGATACATTGACTCATCCCTACTCGTTCTCTCATTCGTATCCTCATTAACGTTGCTTGTCTATATTAAAATGAATGCACTTTGTATTATTATATTTTAGTTTTATAATTTACAAGTAAACGATTTAGTCTTTTATTTTTGCTAGGAAATAAATAATTAGTTATTGCCAACAAGTCACCTTGCAATTGTTATAGAAACGCTCTACGGGAATCGTGTAGGTTATTTTCAATATACCATTGACCCTTCGAGATCTCTTTCCTTCCCGGAAAAACTTTCTACTTTATTTCTATGGCAAATCCAACAAAACGTCAATCTTAAGTTCTGCTTCAATGTAGGTGTTCGTAGTGAATATATAATTGGATTTACACATGAGACAAGGTATGCTAAAAAGGCTGCGCCACCAAGTCCAATTTCAATTTTAGACGAGTCAAGATATTTGCTCAAATCACTAATTCTCGCAAGAATCAACAATTGCAAGACAATCATAAACGGAACCCAACACAGCACAAAGAGAGTTGACATAATGAATGCAGTTTTTGCAGCTTTTGAAATATTCACAATCTTATTCACTTTTCCACCTTTGACTTCATATTCCGTATCATTTGAAGCTGTTTGTATTGCGTTTATAGCCTTGATATGTCTCTGTGCAATTCTATACATCGCTATGTATATACTTATTATGGCTATCAAGGGTGCTAGAATCCCAAGAGATAGGTAAAATAAAATATATGTTTGTGTGTACACGTAATGTTCATCGCAAAAAGCGTCTACAATTTCTCCCGGGAATACAGATATACGTATACCTCCTGGCGTGCGAGAACCAATCAATGGTGCACACCCAAACATAATCGACCACACCCAAACTGTTGTTATGGCAATGCCTTTTCGAGGACGTGTCACTATCTCGTTATATTGGAACGGTTTTATGATGGAGATGAGTCTGTCGGCAGCAACAAGAAGAATGCTTGATATCACTGCTAATAATAAAACAGGTGGCCAAACGGATGAAAATGCACACAAATATGTGTTTGGACTCGCCGATAGTTCTCTCCTGAATGCTGCAAGGGGCACAGCTAATATTCCATTCTGAAAGTCAACGACAACTAAGTTCAATATAAAGACACTAACATGCTTTCTAACGTTAGGTTTCAACATGTAGAAACAGATGATCATGCCATTTGTGAACGTAATGAAAACGGCCAACATTAAAATACAAGCAGTTATTGCACTCCTGGCACCTGGTTTAGTTGCAACTTCCTCCGTTGTGTTATATGTGTCAATTCGAATGGTAGACTCCATTTTAGGTTGTTTATTTCTATCAATTTAGATAGCTCAGCTATGAGTTTAATATAAATCATACATTAAATTCCTTTTTTAGGGCCCTACACCAAAACTCGGCAACGGATAATCTTGTCACGTTATAGACCGGACACTAATAAGTACCTTTGTCATGCTCTATTAAGAGTGATGGATTAATTTCCAGTTTTTGCAAAATAAAGTCATTCAACCTTGGCACTGGTACGTATTCTCTAATTGCATCAATATATGCTTGCCAAAACAGTAAACAGCTATTTGCAACTAAATGTTTACATTCAATATTTTAAGTCCGTTTTAAGTCCATCCCAATCCAGTTGTTGCAAAATAAAGTCATTCAACCTTGGAACTGGTACGTATTCTCTAATTGCATCAATATATGCTTGCCAAAACAGTAAACAGCTATTTGCCACTAAATATTTACATTCAATATTTTAAGTCCGTTTTAAGTCCATCCCAATCCAGTTGTTGCAAAATAAAAGTCATTCAACCTTGGCACTGGTACGTATCCTGGTTTATTTCCATATCATGTCCTTGGCAAGATGCAATCGGTGGTTTCGTCTAGTCTGTTCCTTCTTGATATTAGATAACCGCAGTAGAAAATGAGATGATTAAACTTACTCTTATACTCTTGTACTGCTTACGAAACTATTGCTGTTTTCAAGTCAATAATGTCGATTTTTACGTTCTTTGATGCACTTATTGGACATTCCTGAACACCAATTAGTATCCATTTAATTCATAAGTACCTCGACCTTGATGAACACCGGCTGCATTGTACTTATTGATTATCAAATGTATTCAGATTTATTATTTTTTAACCAAGGATGAAGAAAGGAAAAATGTAAAGTATCCCATACATCAGTTCAGTGCTCATATTTTTTTTACTATTTAATTCATTACACCAAAAATTAGCTCGATATTTGGAAACTATATAATTAAGTTACTGAAACTAGTCTAAAACATAACATGAACTTTGTCCATTCCTTTTCTTATACAAAAAGTTCATTTCGTTTTGATACGCTTGCATTTATAAAAATTCAAAACACGATCTGAAATGAAATATTAAAGGCAATGGTAGAATTCGAAGGCTTGTTAAAATAGTCCTCGTGAATACAGAAAAACTGTCAAATCAGGGAAAAATTAGGCCAAAGTTAAGCTTCAGTCACATTTGATCAACGGCAACCGTACGGCGGTGGTAGCTTCCAATAATCGAGAAAAATCTGCAGAATAAAATATAGGGATAAGCAGGGCGATGTAGATTTTCCATATCAATTTTTTGAAGCTACGGTCGCAAGAAAAAAATCAGCATTGAGACAATAAAACTTCAAAATATAGGTCACTGTCACGAGGTGTCATCGAAAGATATGTCCAGCTTGGGAGCATGCTGTTTTTCAACACTAAGAAATCTTCACAAATTATTTTTAACTCCTATGTTTCGCTATTATACCAAAGAAAATTAACTACTCTCAGTCTATGCAATGGGTACAGGTTGTGCCAAAAATTGCAAATAGCCTTTTAAAGGCAAGAAAAGTATCTTTAAGGTATTGGCATAAAAATCATTTACAGAAACTTAAGGATAGGCATATTTTACCACTCAAATACTAAAGCTAAAACTGACTTCGATTTTTTGTCAAATCTTTGAATATCAATGGTCAATTGTTTAGTATTTGAATGGTAAAATATGCCTATCCTTAAGTTTCTTATTGCATCTGGCCATTACTAGTGTTTAAGTATATTGCTTAAATCAATTGAGTGCACGAGGGCTATTGTAAGAAATAGGGGTGCATTTTTGTGATAGGTTTTTACCAAGCAAGCAAAATATTCTGCAGTGACATTTTGTGTTTGAATCTAAGTTCAGTGTATGTGGTACCATCACCACAATAGAAGCAGATGAAGTAGGTTGAAGTGGTTGACTTTTTCAAATTTGTTTTTCAGCATTTAGACTACGCCCCACTCTGATAATTGTAACTCCTTCCTTACATGAAAGGTTACACATTCCAACCTATTTCAAACCATCTGTATGATGATACTAGACACTTTCTGGGTAGTTGGACTTTCTATAGGGGTGGCAGACGGCCCTCGGACCAATTTATACCCCTACCCCCAAAAAACCATGGGGGTACTTTAATACCACCCAATAAAAAGAATACTAATGCATGCCAGATATTCATTGTTTTATATTGGGTAGGGCATGTTATGGTTAGTAAGTGCCAAAAATTTCCAATCTCTAACTTATATGGTTACCATAGAAACAGTATTTATATCTCGAAATATTCTCAATTTGACCCCCTCCCAAATGTGTCCCTTTGTTCTCAAAGTGAAATATTTGCAAATCTGTTTGGATTTTATGGCAGCTACTTTGTCAAAAATTGTATCAATATGTATATTTTAACATTTAAACACTGAAAAGTGTTCATAATGATCCTATAAATCAATAATATTTATCAAATATAGTCACACACAGCTGCTTTTAGGGAAAAGTGGGCGTGGCACTTTTTGGTACGCGTGTACTTGTTGCAGCATTAAATGAAAAATACATATTATATTAACAACAATTGACATTTAATTAGCATCTACTTATGTTGTGTAACATTGTAATATGTTCATTATCATTATTAGACACTTTAAATATTTTATATAAGTGTTATCCTGACCCTTCCCTTTATCCCTACACCCTTCAAGGTGGGCATTACCAATCGTGTAAAGTTAACATTTCTGTTTGATATATTTTTACCATAGACAAGGTACAAAAGCTTTACCATGAGTACTGACCTTATTAGGTGCTAAACTGATGAATGGATAGGTAGATGGCAGCACTTATGCTGGTTGGACTACACGCTAGCATCTACCATAGACACATATTGATTTACCATATTTGTTATTTTGGATTAAAGAAAAAACTGCTTTTGCACCAAACTTAATGAGATTCAGATTGTGTTTGAAACTATATGATCTTCAGATTTTGTGTGTACCTTAAATTCATGACAATCAAAAGAATTCAACATTTAGGAAGTCAACATTAAGATTTTTAACATCGTCTCAATGAGAATTTAGTGTGACCTTTTTCAGAAAGTTAAAGATCATAGAAAATTGAACATAATCAAAGTTCCTCAGTAGAACATTTAATCTCCTAAAATCACATTAAAACTATATCAGCAATATTTCCAAGCTAAATAGTATAAAAATTTCGATCACATCATTTGCAATGTTTTCATTATTCGATAGTTCAACCCTATATGAATTATTGATGATTTTAAAAGTGCAAGGAATCTAAATGAATCAAGGAAGCCAGTGATATGTATATGCCTTATTAATTGTTGACTTATACAATGAAATAGATTTAGATGCAAGTAGAAATAATTTTGCTTTACATCATTAAAAATTCAAAATTCAGTCAAATAAGTGATATCATATTTGAAATCTTCATGAAGAATTACATTTCTTCATGCAATAAGTTAACCTTTTAGTGAGTAGTTGTGACTCATGTAATCATGCACTTATACAATTTGTCAGTAAAAGTTATTTATCCTATACTTAGTGTTATAGGTAAATAAAATGCATGAATATAATTGATACCTTAGGTGAGTGGGGATATACATGTACTGCATATCCCGCTTTATCCCATACTTGGTCGTGTTTCAGGTACATAAAATAGGTTTGTAAAAACTTATATTTTCATCAGCGGGCAGATATAGCTTTACATTCTGTTGCGAGCGGGCAGATATAGTATATCTGCCCACTCCGTCATAATCGCCCTTGGGCAGATATATTATATTTGAATCGGGATAGTTCCAATATCCTGAACCTCATATAGGATAATCTCTATGTATCGCCAGGTTTATCAGCCGCTCAGTAATCCCCTGCAGGAATTTCATTCTGTGCAATTTCTCATATTTTCGTATATGATAAATAATTTTGGTTACAAGGTATAACCCTTGGGAAATACAATATTCTACCCTCAACCCCTCGGGGAGGTATATTGTATTTCCCTCAGATATATTGTATTTCCCTGTATTAAAAACTTCCCATTAATTAAACCTCATATATAATGCACACCATTTGAAGTATAAATCAAAACTATGAATTAGTGATATCCATGTTTCTAACGAAAGCATGAATTTGAAAGAAACAAACATTCTACTCATATGGTATAAAGATATTACCAGTGGTGTCCATTTTAGATTTGATTGAAGAACTTCATTAGAGGCAATTTTGAAATTACAATATATTAAAAGAGGCTCTGTTGCTTAGATGGGAGAATCAATTAGCTGCATTGTTCAGTTTATGACAAAATTGATGTTTAGTGTTACTTTCATGAACACCCATCCTGTAAAATAGCATTTTGAATCCAGTAGTTTGTATATCGATGAATTAGATAAGGCATTGTCGAGGAAAAATATCCAACAAGATTACTAGTTTGCTCATGAAATTAGGCATACTTTAACTTGAAACAATTTGTAACACTCAAATTTTGGGGTTTAGAGATCAAAGTAATAATGATGAAAAACAAGCAATTTTAAAATATTTAAATATTTAAGATTTTTGTTAGCCTTTGTTTTGTCTGTTTTATTCTCAAATAAATCATGGTCATCAATTCTATTGTGACATAATCATCATTTACCAATTTTAAAATTAAATATTACTGGTTAGAGAATGTGATTTCTTACTTTAGGTTATATTTATATCCCGATTTATATGTATAATAACTAGACTTTGGAAATTGAACGAAGTTCAATTTCAGACTCCAGATCTAGACTTTTTTTGGCCGAGTCATCCAGAATAAGCCGAGTCATCCAAAATAAGCTGAGTCATCCAGAAAAAGATGGATGGATGGATGGATGAAAAAGGAAGGAAGGATACTGTAGGCTAGAATAGGAAGGAACGATAGGATAGAATAGGAAAGAATGATAGAATCGAATATGAAGAAGGAATAGAATAGGAAGGATAGGAAGGAGAGGATATGAAGGAAAGGTAGATAAGAAGGATACGATAGGATCACAAAGGAAGGATGGATGCATTTTTCAATATTTTCTTCTCTACTCTTGACTTTCTATCAGGATACCATCAGATCGATTTTTCTTGAAATTTCAAAACGACATAACTTTCGAATCGGAAGTCGGATCGAAATTTGGTTTGCAGACTCGGATTCCTGAGAAAATTCTACCCTTAATTCATAACTCATATGCTAAATTTGGAGAACTTTTTATTTTGACCTACTTTTCGGACACCATATCTCAAAAGTGGGTAGAAATACTTTCTGACGGCAAAAGGCTAACACTATTAGCACACTTTTTCCTACCTGTATACAAAATTTTGAAGCAAATCATTTAA